AACGAGGAAAACGAGGAAAACGAGGAAAACGAGGAAAACGAGGAAAACGAGGAAAACGAGGAAAACGAGGATAACGAGGAAAACGAGGATAACGAGGAAAACGAGGCATATGAGGATTATGAGGAATATGAGGGAACAAATGGAGACTCAGAAAGCAAGATTGACTCGGAAGGCGAAGGAGAGTCGGAAGGAGATGGAAGCTCGGAAGGAGAGGACAATTTGGAAGGAGAGAGATATTCGGAAGGAGAGGGAGACGCGGAAGGAGAGGGAGACTCGGAGCCCCAGAGACATTCAGAAGCCGGCGAAGATGAGAAAATCCGGGAAGATTCGGATGGTGAGGGAGATTCAGGGGCCCAGGACGACTCAATGCCCAGCAAAGATCTACAGGTCGGCAGAAACCCGAAGGGGAAGTGTTGCGACTCATTGTCAAGCGCCCAGAGAGTGATGAAAATCAGGAGAGATCTCGGTGAACTCGCCGACTGGCCTGGACCGGCATCCGCGGAAGCAGTCCCCTTAGCCCGTGCCATTGAGCTGGCTATGAATACGCTATTTGGTGATAGTCCTATCAACGAGTTCACTTGGTCTCTAGGGGCTGAGTGGCTCAAAGAACAGTCCGGCCGCGAATCGATACACTTTCATATCAAACGGCATGACGGCGGATGGAGAGCCTACTCCGACGAGCTTGAAGCGGCACTTTCATTGTGGCTGTATTCAGTCAACGAGCAAGAGAACCCCATTCAGGAATCAAAAGGCTTTCGGTGGGAAAAGCCACTGGCCAAAGGAGGAAGCCCCCAGGATGCCTGGTTGAGGAAGGGGACGTCGGCAAAGCCTGCCCTGTAACTTTTGGGGCGATACACGGCGGCTTTATACCAAGACGTTCAGTGGTGGATACCTGATGGTGCTCTCAGAGTCAAAATGATTACCAGGAATGAGTCGACAGACACGCGCCTCGCTACGAGGTTGAGGGCCATCGTATTGTTGGGTGCGCACCCAACTGGAGCCCGGACACTCGATACAAAGCCTTGGATTCACCACAACCTTCAGACGGGGAAGCAGTGGCAACGGATATAATCTTGGCTGTCGAATCGTACAGCCCATTGAAGACATTATACACCCAGTACATATTCACCACCTTCATGTGGGCTGCGGTGAAGAAGATGAAGGAGCCTATCAACGGCGAAGCAGATGTACGGCCTACCCAGACAGAGGGTACGAGGGACACGAGTAAAGATCCAGCGTGGAAATCTATTGCATTGCACAGTGCTCGACTTTCGAAGATGGCTCAAGACATCCAAGCTGCGACCGGGCTCGGAGGTTTGGAGGAGATCTACTTTGCCATCATTCCTCCGCTGAGCGCGATGAAGAAGCTTCCAAATGCCAACGCAATCATTGAATGGGCTCGAGTGCATGCCAAACCGCATGAGCAACTAGGACAATGGAAGGAGGCTGCCAAATTGTATTTGTGGCTCTTCCGGGTGGCAAGAAGGTCCCTACGACAAGACGATGTTGTTCAAGCTACTGCCCTGTTGGTGGAATGTCTGAAAGGACTGGTCGAAGCCCACAAGATGAGGCAAGATTCTCAGTTTTACTATACTAGTATCTCTGATTTCTCTGACAGGGATGACGGACAAGAGATGGAGCGACTCATATCGACACTTCACGACGAATTGCGAAGCGCCGATAGCACCATCTTGTCACGTCTACTTTGCTTGTATAAGCTACAGGGTCGCCCTTGGGGTTGTTCCTTTATTGAAGACAGTCGGGACTTCAGTGGCCACGATGTGCTGCTCAAGTTCACAAACCTTTACTGGGCGGCTTGCAAGGATGAATTCATGGTTTCGGATATTCTGTCCAGCAGCAGACTGGGAATCAATAAGAAGGACGTCCTCAACTGGACACCGTTACACTACGCGGCCGCACAACCGTACGGGTTCATTGGGGTATTGTCAATATTGTTGAAATACCTAGCCGACATCAACCCACAAGATATCCATGGAAGGACACCGCTCCATTATGCTTGTCGGCATAACTACAACAATGATGTCGTACAGACGCTCCTACAATGTGGCGCAGATACCAACATACGAGACACAAATGGAAGGGCCCCTATACATTTCGCAGCGATGCATGGCTGCCGCGAAACCCTGGAGTTGTTGATCGAAGCCGGTGCAGAGATTGATGTTGCAGACACCTCAGGGTATACTCCCTTACACTTGGCTGCTTATAATGGGCACACGGAGGTGGTTACCCTTCTCTGGAGAGATTCAAGCCCGAGGTTGCGCGACCGCAACGGCAGGACTCCTCTACACCTAGCAGTAGCAGGTGTAGGCCATGTCTCTAACGGGGACACGGTCGGCCTGCTGCTCAGGGACCTGGAGGGCGTTGATCTGGAGGCCAAGGAACGTTGCGGTCGCACACCGCTTCACTTAGCAGCCGCAGCTGGCCATGAAGCTACGGTAGAAATGCTGCTTGACAAAGGTGCTAGTATAGAGGCCAAAGATGACTATAAGTGGAGGCCAGTGGGCCATGCCGCGAGAAATGGGCATGAAGCTGTGGTTATGCTGCTGCTCGAGAGGGGTGCTACAACCGAATCCCACGACATAACCTATGCCATTGACAATGGGGATGTAGCTCTGGTTGGACTGATGCTTGACAGCTTGAGATCTGCTAACACAGATTATTCGCCGCTGGATTCGCCGCTGGCCTATGCCTCTTGGATAGGTAATGAAGCTGTGGTTAGGTTGCTGCTCGAGAAGGGAGTTCCCATCGATGGTAGGGAGCTACACAGGGCAGTGTACGGAGGGCATGCAGCTGTGATTGAGCTGCTGCTTGACAAAGGGCTGATATCGAGGCCAGGTATGAACATAAATATGGAGGGCCACCGCTGCTTGTAGCGGCTGAATGGGGTCAAAATGCTATAGTTAGGCTACTGCTCGAGAAGGGTGCAAATATCGAGGCCGAAGATGACAATGGATTGAGGGCGCTGCACTGGGCAGTAAGAGGGAAAAAGTTGGATTGGAACCCTACGGCGGGGGTGCATGCAGATATGGTTAGGCTGCTGCTTGAAATGGGTGCTGACTTCGAGGCCAAGGATAAAAGGGGACGAAGGCCGCTATGGTATGCCGTTGATGCCGGCGATGAAGAGGTGATGAAGCTGCTACTCGAGAAGGGCGCTACCCCGCTATCTCCTGAAGAGAAGGCTGAGTTGGCCTCCCGCTCGGTCCTGGCCGAGGATGAAGCTGAGTGAGGCTGTGAAGGGGAGCTGGGTGCTCTGGCGTGATTGTATATATGTGGATTATGGAGAATCAATGGGGCCTTTGAGTGGGAATTGGCCGAAATTGCTCTATGAGAATGGATGCTATTCGTTATAGGAGGTCGCCAACGTGGATCACCTAGATGTCCTACAAGGAGACTACTCCTAGTAGGAGAGAAATGTTGACATCACCACTCAACAAAGCGTCATGTTCTGCTGAAAAAGCATCCATCCTGACTGGAGATGCCGTAGGAAGCCTCGGACGTAAACCTCAATGGTATAGGGGAAGGGAAGAGTTGTATTAAAGTCCGAAGTTCATGAACCCTCTCCATCGGAAAACTCTACGACGGCATATATCGTGTAACGAGGGAGATCGGGGGCGAGAACAGGGCCGGGAACCCGCACACAGTGCAAGGGTCAGTGAAGCGCAGGTTGTTGCCGTTCAGTAACTCCTATACACCACTCCTCAGCCCGTGGGGGTGATTGTTGGCTGCTGGACTTTGGATATAGCGGACGAACTCAACCACAGTGCAGCATACGATGGTTTATGATCATGTGAACTATACTTATGACTTATGTGGGCTAAACACACTGCAAAGCAGGCCAACCTACAAAGAAGTTGGAAGAACTGATACTCTGATAAGGATTGATCAAGAAAAGAACAGCAGGGAGCCGTGAAGGTCGTCCTGCTAGGCTGTTAGTCTACTACCGCTGAATTCCACATGCAGCCCACAGGGGCCACAGGTGCTTAGCGTTGGAGGTTCACTGCAGTCCCGATTGGTGCACTGTAGCATCGTGGCAGCTTCTTTCAGCCCAATCTGGAGCGAACTTTTCATCCCTTGTAGCATTTTTTTACACGCAAAATCTGTTGAAGGTGGAAAGCAGACAGAACACTTAAACCCGCGAATGGAGGACGCTGTCCGGCCGAATGCCGATACATTCAGATATTATTACGCTCGAGGGTACAGGACATGGCAGATACTCTGTTTGAAGGCAGCTGCTCGGCATCAATTCCCAGCCGACCTTGTGGACTTGGAGCACGTCTGTGAAACAGTCCATATCTTCACAGAGGGATCAAGTTAAAGCCAGGCTACGACTTCCACGCACCGGAACATCGACATGGCAAGCGAGCAACGGAGATGGAGCCTGCGACCTCCCCCCCTTTTCACGCTCCTATTCCATACCTGTCACAGTTCGCCGCCCAATTGTCATCTCCGTTGAACCAGGGGCCGAAGAATTTCCCACATGGTTCGGCGGCCAGCCCAACCACATCTGCATATTGACTCTGGCTTAGTCCTATGTCTTCTCTGCGTGATGGGCCGAGATCGTTCCAGGGGTTGCCATTATCCAGTACACCAACACCCGGGCATCGTGGAAGCAGCAAGGAATGGGCACCGTCGACCAGTCAAAAAAGATCTCTGTCGAATTGGGGCCAATCTCAGACAGCGCCGCCAGGTGGTGGGCTGCTGTACTCGCTCCAAACCAGGGCTGGGTCACCGGCATACAGCACGAATGTGACCTTTTGCCAGCGCCGTGGTCGATCTCCATTGCCAAAAACGGCAATTCATCCACCTTCGTACTCTCGCGAACGTCAATACAAGGGGAGCCTTCGTTCTCGGACTCTTTATCCCCAGCGTCGTCTTCGGCCGCTGTGCAGCATATTCTGTCATACTCGGCGTATCACGGAATCCAAGACCAAAGCCGGGTAGCCTTTACCGCGGCGTTGATGTTGCCCACGGCCAGCCGTATCAAGCAAACAATCGTCTTGTCGGCCCTCCAGCGGCCTCCCCTGGATATTAGTAACAGCAATGACCCGCCCCCTAATTCAAATTCGGACCCAGAACTTCCACCGTGGGGCCAAGACGTGCACCAGCTCGACAGACTGCTCACCCTAAGCTGCAGCAACTTCCTCCAATCCCTCCTCAGCAGCGTCGTCTTTGAGCCGGGCATCCCCTGCAACTGCTGCGGCGCCCGGGCTCAGGGGACCTTTGCGGCGTTGGACAAGATTCAACTCAACCTGCAGGCCCTAACTGGTGCGCTGATGGCACGGAACGCCAGGCTCGGCTTTCTCTGGCTTGGAGCCACACTGTTGGGTCTTCATGACTTTGTTCTCCGATGGATGCGCGCCATGTACTACCCGCTGGATCTGACGCTGGCCGGGTGGACCGACACCCTCATGTCCTTCATCCAGGAGCGTGTGGCAGATCCTGTGGTGGTCAATGAAGCGGTGGCACGCGCTGATGAGGCTCGGTTGTTGTTCCTGTCTCAAGCTATGGATCATAAACAGCCTCCCATTGTGGCCTTCCAGCCGTTTGGGTTTACCTCGCTTGTGGATTGTGGTCTTGAGGTGCGGGAACATGCGCAATGTCGAGGGAAACACGGGCTGTATTATTCTGGCTGGGCTTGGAATTGTCGAGATACATGGACGGAGGCTGACCACACTCCCCACTCATATGACTCGGAGACGATGATGAACGCTCTGATATCAAAACCAGACGTTCTGGAGAATGATGAAGCGGATGACGTCGAGATAATCGTTGACTATAGCCAAATGAACCGCGAAAAAGATCCTTCCGAGACCGTAACCCGCAGCATCTTCATGTGGCTTCGAGAACGGATGGCTTCCCAATCGCGGAAAGGGAGATCAGAGAACACGAATGGATCGACAATCTGGTGGACTCAGACGATGAGAGTGCCTCTCCGGAAGGTGACTGGCGGTCGGTTGACGCCATCAGAGCTGGCAGAGTTGGCTCGTGGATGACGCGGGTGGTGACGTACCGACGGAATAGCTTTCACTGATGGAAACCTGATGATGTTAGGAGCAAAGCTGCTAGTATGAGCTATGATGAAGTAATGTTGACCTTTTGAGTTTGGGTAAAGGGGGTCAACGCCCAGTCATCTCAGGCTATGTAAAAAACCTCAAAAGCGCTTCCACTGAATGATGAGGAAGGCAGGACGTACGGCCGTAGAAACGACACTTAAGAGGGCCATGAGGTTGTTTGCCCCAGGTCACGGTGCCAGTGAAATTATAGGCCCCTTTGCGCGGGACAAAGGTCAAAGTCTGCCAACCTATACCCACTAACGAATTCACTGCAGGGAGACTTTGTAAATATGGTTGGGATGAAAATCGACTCCAATGGCCACATTGGCCTCTCGCTGTATCAACTGAGGGATATAAGTGGTAGACATCACCAGGCAGTTCTTGCTCATTGCCTCACGCTCAAGCTCCATCCTCCAGAACACGCTGCAAGGACCTATCCATTAGCACTTTGACCGAGTTGCCACTGTACTCCCAGCTGTGATAACTCAAACTCAGTTGACAACAAAGACAAGTTCGTGAGGTATACAACGAGATGTATGACCAGCCCCTTAACCGCCTCTCCTGCCGAACGTCAACTAACAATATCTAGCACAGGCCATGTGCACCTGGTATCCAAAAGAATACAGCTGCGGATGCTGGACATGGGCTCTACAGCCTTGTTACTATGGAACGCTCAGTCCCCCTGGTCCCTGCCGCAAAGACCAAACGTACACAACACATTACGTAGACCGCAAATGCAGGGACTGTCGAGCGAGAGGGAGACGCAGGTGAATGGTTATTATCCATGATGCTTAAGGGGTACAATATTTCGATCATTTTATTTCGTTGACACAAATGGAGCTAGTAGAGCGGTGAACAGGTAGGGACTTTGAGAGCTTCTGGCACATCCAGTGCAAGGCGCTGGGTTTGCGTGTAGTATAAGCCTCTGTATCAATGTCAGAGATGGGCATCTTTACCTGGCACATCGCATTGTCTAGACTTCCTCAACAACGTTGGTCCTCACCCGAGATTACGGAACAATTCCAGCACTGCGGTATATACAGGCAGCCAAAACTCTCAACGAGTCAGCGAGTCCATAGCCAGTCCCTCAACCAGGTGCCCAGTTCGACAGGGGGAAGTCAGACTGATACTCCAGCAACAGTTCCTGCATGCGTTCCAACTTGCCCACATCACTCGTCATTGCCTTAGCCGCCATGATGAATCCCGGCACGGCGCCCGATCCCAGCGGGCGATACTGGGCCGCCTGCTGAGCGAGCTCCACCACTTCGTCCACGAGCATGGCCCGCTCGAGCTCAAGAGCGCGGGGGTCGCCGATTCCATAGACGCTCAGTGCCCAGTTGGCCATCATGCCCAGCAGGAGTAACGTTCCGTAGCCGGTTAGGCGACGAACGTGGATCCGTCTCTGCGCGAGCGTGAGCTCCACTGCCGACATGCCGGATAACAGCGCCTTCATGTTGGCGAGGTCGGTCTGCAGGGCTTGGTAGGTGGAGATGATGGCCGGAAGACTGCCTTGGATGTCCCGAGTATAACCGGAAATGGCGGCGAGGGACGAGACTCGAAGACACTCGATTTCAGGAGCTCCGTTTGTAGGCGGTCGAGCCGGCCTCGCAATGGCGGGAGGGCCCGAGGTTGTCCACAGGCGAGGATCGAGCTTTATCTTGGAATTTCCGAAGCTCTCGAGGAGCTTGTGCAGTGCGGGCAGCGAGTTAGTGGATGCCAGTTACAGGTAGATGCCTGGTTGACTCGGGAGGCAGATCAGCAACTTACGACGATTACAAGAAGCGTATTTGCCACCTCGGCTTCGAACTGACCCTGCCAATCCTGCCTTGCGACGGCGGCATTCAGCAGGTGGGCCATGGCCTCGCCGTGGCTGGGAACGAAGTCTGCCCCCCTACCAATCCAGCCCTTCAAGGACAACGTAGTCAGTTCAAAGCTGGGTCGTGTGGAGAGTCGCAGAGCATGCTACACGTACTTGACAAATCATGACGAGATACACAGCGCAGAGAGTCTCGACGGACGTGGCCCTCGCCGGATCGCCGAGTGCTCTGCGCAGGTGCCGCAGCGCCTCTCCATACGACCTGTACATATCGGACGTGAACCGGCGACTATGCACCGAGGGATAGGCCGTCGTCAGGGCTCTAACCGACGCGTCGAGGGCCTCGCTCCTCCCTAGACGACGGGGGATTTCTGCGAAGAACGGGCCGTAGATGCCAAGCTCGAAGCGAACATCGGTTACTTGTAGGGCCGAGACAAGGTTGCTCGCATCTTGCATCGTCCGGCTGGGCGGGAGCCTGGGGGACAGCTTCATGACGGATGATTCGGTTTGGGCCTGGGCTCCATGCGCAAGGATTCCTTTGGCATTAAAAGGAAATTGATCCGGCGTGGACATGAACTTGTAACGGCGTTGACCACTCCCAATGCAGGGTAAGCCGCGTCGAGCACATCGTGAACAGGAGGGAGTCAGTTGGTCGCACTAAACGGTACCAAGGACCTGGTAGTTGGTGCGATACAAAAATCCGATTCATGCAGATCCGTGGTGGTCGTGGCTCCGTACCTTTTTCTTTGTTTGCCGGCAGGCATCGCAGCCGCGGCTGGACGGAACGCCTGGCATTTTTGCCCGAACGCGCGCAAAGACGAGATGGTCCAAGATGGCAAGATGCGGTACAGGGTTTCCAAGGCGGAGATTGTGGTTCGAAATGCGTTGGCCCAGGAGCGCGTCAACTTGGAAGATTGATCGAGGTTAAGCGTCTCCAAAACTCAGGGCGCGACATTGCGACTAAATAGGAAGGCACTGTCCGGAGTACGTCAGACGACGGGAAGGCGCAGTTGCGGCAGGATGCAACGCCGCCAACGCCGTTCGGGTCCCCGCAATCGGGGAAGAGTGGACCCTGTAATCAACTCCAGAACCTTTTCTGATTGGACGGGCGCGGCATCAAACCAAAAAGGGAAATTTTTGGGGGCAGACGAGGCATCCACAGCGCTCTTTGCAGTTTCCACGGGAGCTCCATCTTGGACATCCTTGAAGTCATCAACAGCGACGAGGCTGCCCTGACTTGGTTGACTCTGCCCAGTGTATCTCATGTATAAAGAGGCGGAGAGAGTGCGAGACACCATGGGGAATTTTCGACAAGCAAACAAGCCTGGAGACACCACTCACACCACCCCGCAACTCCTCAACACGAATAGTGTTGCCTGGCCCTGCACCTCTCCAAGTTCTTGTTAACCCTCTTCGACATGCACCTCTCTCTTCGACATGTCCTCGCGTTTCTTGGAGCACAATCCATATGCGTCGTGCTCGGCGACTTCGCGGGGCCCAGTTACCCACCCCCCAAGGACCTGAGCGGCGACCAGAGTCTCGTATCCACGGCGTGGAAGAGCTTGACGGATGCCCTCAAGGCAGCAGGTCTTGGAGGCGACGGCATCAGCAGCTGCAAACCGAAAAACGGCAGTGCAATTCCAATTCCGGTTCCCGAGGCCACCAGAAACACCACCTTCTCCATCGGCCTGTTCTCCCTTCATGACCCAGATGCAGCCTCGATGCAGTTCCACCACACCTCGCCCGAAGTCGCTGCATCGACTGAGGGCACCAAAAAGGTGGATGGAAACAGCATCTACCGCGTTGCCAGCGTGACTAAGGTTTTCACCGTCCTGGCCGGCCTCCTGACGCTGAGCGACGCCGAGTGGGAGCGTCCGCTGAGTGACATCCTTGCGCCGCTCTCGGGCCAGGGCAGCCATGCTGCTGCTGTACTGTCAACGCCATGGGACAAGATCACGATGCGTGCGCTTGCCGCTCAGCTTGGCGGCGTACCGCGCGACGGCTTCCCGAACCTCGGCGAGATTGCTCTTGAGATGGCCTTGATCAACAAAACCGAGGCCGAGCTCATGGCTGAATCCGGCTTGCCGCCAGCCAATGTCTCCGACCCTCTCTCTAACCCACCATGTCTTCTCCGTCTCTTGATGGGCGAGGAATGCACCGAGACGCCATACATCCAGGGCGTTGCCAACCGCGCTCCAACCTTCTTACCGTGGACAGCACCGGGCTACTCCAACAACGGATTCGTCCTGCTCGGGCTCGCTATGGCCAACGTCACGGGCCAGACCATCGGTCAGTTATACCAGGACAAAATCCTAACCCCGCTAGGCATGGACTCCACCTTCTCCAACCCACCCCCCAAGACCGAATTCCCGCGCAGCGTCATCGTCGGCAACACAGCCGCAAGCACCTATGACGTCCCCAACGGCATCTTCGTCTCGTCAGGCGGAATCTTCTCCACAACCTCCGACCTCGCCCGCTTCGGCACAGGTATCCTCAACTCAACTCTCCTCCCGCCCGAACAGACCCGGCGCTGGCTCAAGCCTGTGTCGCACACGGCTCGGTTGCAGTATGATGTCGGCGCGCCGTGGGAGATTATGCGCTATGTGCATGGCAATGGCAAGGTGACGGAGCTGTATACCAAGCTGGGCGACTCGGGCATGTACAGCGCCTGGCTCGTCCTTATGCCGGACTACGGGTTTGGGTTCAGCATTCTGGCTGCTGGGTCGGAAACGGGTAGGTTTGGGGTTGTTTCTGCCCTGGCGGATGTTGTTACAAAGACACTGCTGCCGGTAATGGAAAAGCAGGCGGCGGTTGAGGCGGGGAGGAACTTTGCGGGTATTTACAAGTATGAGGCTGGTGGCGAGGGGATGAACTCGACGCTGGTCCTGGCTGTGGCGGCAGCGGAATACGATGATGCGCCGGGCCTGATCGTCTCGTCGTGGGTGAGCAATGGCACGGACGTGCTTCCCTACTTGGCGCGGCGTGTGGGCCCGGGGCCGTTCCGGCTGCTGCCTTCGGTCGCTGGTAGCAGCGGGGATGGCAAGGTGGCCTTTCGGCTGGTAGGTGCCACAGATGCGCCTACCGCCGAGGTGCCGGCTGGAGCTCTGTTTTTCGGGCCTGGCATGGTGAGTGCGGACTGGCTTGTGGTGGATGATAGTACCTACTACGGCGTCGGGCTGTCGCTCTTTGTGTTTGACGTCGGGTCCGACGGCCAGGCTACGGCGGTGACGCCCGCTGCGTATAGGGCGACGCTGACGAGATTGGCGGCGTAGGAATGGGGACGAGGATGGGAGTACCCTGGAGTCCGTGGTTAGATCTCTATTTCTGATGTACCTTATGATATTTCAATCTTTGGTTACACTCAATATGACATCAAAGATACGGTACACTGGTTGTTGTTCCTACATACCAGGATTGACATGGAGTCATACATGTGGTTCGCATGGATTCTTCCGTACCCATAAAGTTCCACAATTGACCCTGCCGTGGATAAGCTAAACTGTAAAACAACTGGGGTGAAAAGACTCAGATTTCAAGAGTGCTTCCCGATCCGTGAAGTTGTGAACCCACCCTTGGGTTATAAACATGAAAGCGACCGGCTTCCTATCGGAGCCCTAGCAAGCTCAGGCTATGCCCCTAGGCCAACCTAACACCCATCTTAGAAGCGAATATGTATATACATATGAAACAAACGAACGATCCGCCGATGATATGTATGTACAGCTCGGCCAAACGCCACAACAACCCCCCTAAACCCCTTGACCACTGACGGGAACCCTTCCCCCCTGCCCGTTCACCCTGACCCCTTAAGTTCCCTTACGGAAACCCGGCCCTGAGATTATCATACACACTATCCGGATAACTCAACAAATTCTGAGTCCTATCCACCGCGCCCTTCTGACTCAACTTCGACCAACTCGTCCCAATCAACGAACTCCCATCCGTCCTATCCGCCGACGCCTCCCAAAACATACTCCCGGCCAACCCCTTCCCAGCCAAATAATCCACCTTCCGTGAAATCATATCCGGCGTGTCATACGAAACCAATTCCCTCGCAGCCGCGTCATAGCTGTACGTCGCACCCGCAGCCGAATCGTAAATCACCTGCGCGCCCGCCTTGGGCAGGGCTTTGTAATCCCACACGCCCGCCTCCCAGCTGCCGGAGCCGACGCCGGAAAAGGGTTGCCCGAGGCCCGCAGTGTTGGCGAAGGACCGGCCGTAGATGGGCATGCCGAGAACGATTTTGGATGGGGGCACGCCGGCGGAGAGGTAATCACGCACCGCGGCGTCGGTGGAGAATGGTGTTGCGCTCGCGTTGGTCGGGTAGATGTTGGCTTGGTGGCCCGCAAGGGAGTCCCAGGAGCCGGCGTAGTCGTAGGCCATGAGGTTGAAGAAATCGATGTTGTCTGCCAGGGTCTTGAGGGGGAGTTTGTTGTAGTTTGTGGGGCCGGCGGGGGAGGCAATGGTTAACAGGAAGTGGTAACCGCCGGCGTACTGGCGGGAGTAGGAGTCTAGAGCTGAGCGCACGGCTTGTAAGAGCAAAATGAAGTTGTTTGCTTCAACTGCGTTTTGCGGGTATTCCCAGTCGATGTCGAGACCGTCGAAGCCGAGGTCGGCTAGGAGACGGACGGCGGAGGAGGCGAAGAGGGCGCGCGTGGTGGGTGTGGAGGCTGCGGCGGCGAAGTTGGTGGAGTAGGTCCATCCGCCGATGCTCAGGAGGGTTTTGAAGTGCCGGTTGGATTTCTTGAGCAGGAAGAGTTGCTTAACGCAGCCGTAGACGTTCTTGCCGACGTCGTTCCAGGCTGGTTTGTGTTAGTTGAGTACATGTACGCGGTAGGTGAGAGTGGTTGGTTCAACTCACAGTCTCCTGGATAATGCTTGTCGAGGTCGGCATATGTGTCGGACAGGTAGACTTCACCAGACGGCCGGAGGTTGGCGAACGAGTAGAGCGCGTGCGTGATCTGGGACACGGGGAGCTGAGCGGGCTGGTAGTTGCGGCCGTAGATGCCCCTGATTTGGTCAGCATAAAAGAGTCCACCGGAAATCTTGTATTTGGCTACCCACCAGTTGGTGAAGTAGACAATGTTCTTGTAGCCCGAGGCCTGCCGCTTGTCGACCTCAGCATCGGCTGCGGGCACCGGCGTAGCTTGCACAAGGAGCGCACAGAAGGACAGGGCTGCCAGGGCCGCCTGCTTGAGTGAGAGAGGCGCCATTGCGAGAAGACAACGATGCTGTCAAGCTGAGACAAACACAGTAGGTAGGCGAGCACACCGCTGTCATGCTGAATTTACATCATGAGGATGTCCACGCTGGGAATCTTATACCCGCCGATATAGACTCGGCCCGCGACCCATCATGACCTGGAGACTGGAGTGTGCCTACGTACCGATGACCCGGTCGGTGGTTCACCCTGAATCGTGCATCCCACCAGTATCCAACCAGTCTTCTCCTCATGATGGCACCTCACTGGCAATACTAAGGGGTGGGTAGTCCCGCGCATGAGCCCCCTGACTCCCACAAAGGCAACCAGCAACGTTGCTGCCGGCGTCATGGCAGCCTCTTGCTGATAATGTCTGCTGCAGGTACTACGCGCCAGTTCCCTTGCTTGATGCTCGCGTGTCCTCTGCTCGTCCCACTTTGGCAACCCCACGGTGCCAGTCCCAGCGGGCTCCGATGCCGAAACAGGCCGGGTCCCCGTGACGGAAGCTGCTCCGACATAACCAGAAGCCTGGGATAGGGTAGGTAGGTAGCGCAGGTCATGTTATGGGGTTGCCCCTGGAGGATGACTTGCAGTGGAACACTTACAGGTTCCAGTTGATGAAAAGCCGCCGTCTCGGCATGCCATGGCCTTATCACGGCGCCGTTGGTAGCATGCAGCACCCGCTATCTCGGTGTGGTGGTGTTAGTGGTTAGGCACCAATGAGATGCGCCAATGAACAGCCACAGCTTCGATCGAATCTCCGCGTGCGCCGGCACTGACATGTGCCCCCGATCACCAGGGGCCAGCCACGGCAGACAAGTTCCCCCAGGGCGCGGCCGAATGGGGAAGGTCGGCCCTAACATGTCTCATTGTGATTCGTCGTCTGGGCATGTCTCCGAATTGAGGGGCTTCCCCGGACCGGCACTTTGACTTGGCGCTTGAGGATGGGAACTGTAGCCCCTGGTCAGGTTGGTGGTATGGATCATGGCCACACGTGCTGATGTGAACATTGACACAAGATGCGTTTGTCGAGACCAGATTAAGGGCAGTCGGAGCACGATAAGGCAGAAGAGCATGGCTGCACCGCAGAGAACCATTCAAGATGCCGCCCATATGCCGATGCAAGGGGCAGCTTCGGCAATCGGCCTTAACCTGTCCAACCTTGCAAGTCTTCATCGTCAGCTACTGTACCTCCTATACAATTATCAATACTACAGGCGGGTTATAGTATCCCGGGCCGCCATCTCGGGCCGGAACTTTCGCAGAGCCGCAAATATCAGCATGTCAAGTAATAATATCCAGGCACCTTACCTCTATTTCCCCTATTTCCCCCAACTTCCCCCAGAACGGGTGGGGTGCTCCCGCAGCGGCGTTGGAGAGAAGAGAGATTAGCTCAGGGGTAGTGGTTAACACCTAAATGTCCCCCAAAGAACGCGCCAATACGACGTTGGCGTGCTGTGGTTGCATGTCAACTTAGTCAAACCGTGGGTTGCACCGTGCAACGTTACCTGTCTCTTCACTCTCTCCACAAGTCCAAAAACTGTGAGAACTAGCTGAGGTGTACTTGGGTCAAGTTGCTATCAAGCTGAGCTGGCTGAAAATCCCCAGGAACTGTCCTTCTGTTCACACCAGGGAGATTAGAGTCTGGTGGGCACAACTCCAAGGACACATCTCGCGGCAATCTGCAACTACAGTAATGTCAACTTTCCTACTCTATCTCTAACATGGCCCCGATTATGCAAGAGTCCGCTCTATCATGACTCGTCTATCAGATTACACATCCAGCTCCCTCTATGCATGAGATATGGGTATCATAACACCACCCCTAATACACATTCACATCCCCATCCCCCCCTATCATCAGATCCATCACAACCCAACAAAGCCCACCACCACAGCCGCCAACCCAGCCGTCCAAATCACCATCCTAGCATCCACCCTCACCAACCCAGCCGCATTATCCTCCCCATCTCCCCCATTCCCATTCCCATTCTCAACAGCCTGCCCATTAAACCTCGGATCCGTCGGCTGCTCCGCCATATTCACCACCTCGACCCTGCTCCCCTCAACACACAACCTATCCGGATCCGTCCACGTAGCATCCACAGCCCGCTTCCACGTCTCGGCCGGCTGCCGGAGCATGTCCCAGGTATAAAACACCCTGCAATTCGCGGGCTGATACAAAAACTGCAGCGGCATTTCTGCATTCGTCCTCGCAAACGCGTTCTTGCCGTTCACACCCCCGGGACTGCTCAGACTCCGGGCACGGGAGAGGGCGTAGCCTTCGGCAATCTCGGCTATTTCGCTCCCCGTGACGTTCAGGTCCGGGTTGAGGACTATGGCGGCGTTGGCGGCGGCCGCGATTTGGCGGAGCGGGAAGAGCTGGGAGCCTTCGACTCCGCCGATGGACTGCATTGCTCCCGTGCGGGGGCGGCCGCCGACGGCGAGGGTTTTCACGTTGAACTGGTACAGCATTTGATAGGAGAAGAGTGTGCATGCGGAGCCGCAGGTTCCGTCCATCAGCAACACAATATCCGACGGATCAAAGACGGCCGCCGGCGGGTTGGTGCGGGACCCCGTACCGGTCATGTTGTAGTAGCGCGAGGTTTCGTTTTGCGGGTCGTGCTGGTAGGCGGTGAAGGAGTCGTTGAGGAGGGTGACGGGGCCGAGGACGGCGGCTTCGGTTTCGAGGAGTGTGCCGTTGGGCGCAAACAGGTTGCCTGGCATCAGGACGTCTACGACGCCGCTGGTGGCGATGACCTCGACGGCATTCCGCATTTCGGAGGTCATTTCGACGTTGGCAAAGGTCCCGTCGGGATCGACGTACGTCTGCATGGCGGAACTGGCCGTCTCGCCGATCTGCCGGACGGATTCGGCAAGGCGGATGTTGTCGGCTCGCCAGATTTGTTGGGAGGGGAAGAGCTGGAAGGGTAGGTTAGTGACTTGCTTGCGGATGTGATATGGTAAACAGCTTGGAGGGAGTACACACCTGAGCAAAGAGTTCGTTGCTGGCAGCCACGATACCGCCACCATTGGCGGACAGGTCTATCACCAGCCTCTTCTTGTTACTCTGCTTGCACTCCGCCAGGAAGCCCTCAATTGTCTGTTGGAAATCGACCATGTAATCGATGGAATCAATATTTTTCGACTCGTCCGGCTGGAAACCCGACACCACGAGCACAGCGACATCATCATAGCCCGTGCCGTTCAGAAAGTAGCCCGAGGTGAGATCAGCGTCAGAGTCCCTGACCACGGGGGCGGGATAGCCGCTGATCGGCACAACTCTAGACTGTCTAATCTCAAGTAGTTCAGCAGGCTCTGCACGTTCCGAAAGTGAGCTGCCGCTGGAACTCGGCGTCAAGAAAAAGTCGTAGAAGTCGTCGCCCGTCTCGATTCTGCTCGGGAACGATTCCACAAGCACAAATGCGATGCTCTCTTCAGTCTGTTCCGTGCCATCGTCGTATGTGAGCGTCACACTGGGGCCGGTGTAGTCCAGCGACTGAGCGAGGGAGTTAACTGTGTCCTGGCGCGCGTAGGTCGGAAAGTCGGAATTCCACTGCGCGTCCGGGTCCTGGTAGAAGCTGGTCAGGGTGCTGCGGCGCTCGAGAACGGTGGCTGCGTCTTCGCCGTTGATTTTGGTAACCGCGCGGGGGAATTCCCCAGTGCCGCTGTCGCTGGCTTCAAGGAGCTCGGCTAGAGGGCGGTCAGCAGTAGTTAGCAGGAGGGAAGAACCAGTGCTGCTTACCAGCGTGGTAAAGCTTAGGCACCTCGACACCGTCGCGCGAAACAGACACGAGGTCGGCCAGAAGGCGATTGCTAAAAGTGAAGACGGAGAAAATATCCGGCATAAAGGTGTAGTGGCCGTCGTGAACAGACTGGACGAGTTCCAGAATCGCCAGTTGGAAGTCATATTCGCTGCGGTAACCGCCCGCATCGACTGTGCTCGAGATGTTGTCCAGGGTGCCGAGGACGTCAACCGCGGCGAACGGGTAGTCCTGGGGAGGGGACTTGAGAAACGGCAGCGTGCTCTGCCATTGTGAGTAGGCTTTGAAACTCTGTATGAGCTTCTTTGCCGGCTCTTTTCTGTTGGGGACTGTTTGAAGACAGTCGAAGGCCAGTGTGGCGGGGACGGTGGGCGTTGCTGTGTTCGGTATGAGCAGTGACCACTACAGATACCAAGATATATCATTCATTTCGAACTTACACCTTCGCGAGCTGTCTTGGACCGCTGAAGCCACTAACCCACACGAATCGGGATCGGGCGCTGATTGCCTGCTAGACACGTGGGGCGCTGGCGCCGCATTCACGCCGCATATCCATTCATTGCCGAGGCAGAGGATAACTGCCAGTCCTGGCCTTGAGAGCCTCATGATGAACTATGGTATGGTGATGATGTGCGATTATCCACAGCATCGGGGTCGAAGTGAGAAGAAGGGACGCGCGCGTATTAATACTCGGCGTGCAATTTGGCATCCGCATGGTTGTCGGATCAGCACTAAACAAATTCAGCATAACTTAACGTATGGATCGCGATCCCAGGCAACCAGGCCCGAGCCAGGAAGCCGGGATAGGGTGGCGTTGGCACTTGGCGGGCCACAGGGGCGGCCGTCCCGGGGTCGTTGGTGGAGCTGAAGCTGGGGCAAAGCAATCAGCGCCGCAATCGTTCCCCGCTACGCGAGCGAGGCGAGCAGGGCCTGACTGGGCTGGGCTGATGCCTGGGATGATCAGACTCAAACACCGCCGCAAACGTCCTGACAATTAGTTGGCAATCAAAGAAGCGCGACACATGTGGTACGATCTTACCTCTGTATTGTATGTACATAACGGACGATATTCATGCCCAATCTCGCACAACCCCAATCACTCCGTACGCTACGAAACGATATTGGGGTACCTGCGTTGACTCGCTTGCTGGTGCTACGTCGGACTTCGTATGGAACTTGTGTATGGGGACGACTATGGGCGTTTAGATTGCCAATCATTAGGCGAGCCTCAACCTTTTGACACATTTCCCTAAGATTGACGTCAGGTGTCACAATTCAATTGTCAAAAACACAGGGAGGCGGCTAAGCTGTGCATACCACATGTTCACAGGTCCCTCGCGCTTCAGTTCACAATGAACTGCGCTTCTGTTAGACGCAGCGCAGCGCCAGCATAGCCCACGTGGTTCATGCCTTCGGGGTTCAATAGTCGCACTCAACACTCGCGCTGCTGCTCTCAACGTGGAAAGGAGAAATGCGACCTTTGACAAACCATTGGGGGCCGTGCTTGCAAAGTTCAAAGTTTGGGGCGGTGTTGCAGGGTCCACGCTAACAACCGCCCGGTGGTGCGGTTTCGCAAAAGTTCTCTATTGGTTCGTTGACAAAATGGGAAAGCACTTCAAAGGAGGTCTCCAATTCTGTTGCGTGGGTTCACCATCTTCCAACTCAAAAGGAAAAGTAAACTCTGGATCTATGTAGAGATGCACTGGGGCGATGCTCTGGATGTTGGAATCTCTTCTGAGTAGATTCATGCACCGAGTTGTAGGCAGAGGCTATTCGCACTTTCCTCTTGCATCTCGCACTCATGTACGAAACAGGAGGCATACCCCTGTAATATCGTTGTTCTCGAATCTCGACTAGTCCTTGGCACTTCGAAACCCTCAATTTCGCTATTACAGAGCCGAGCAGTTGGATCAGCTTTATCGAGAACAGTTTCAACGCCAACAAAGAGTACACTATAGAATGGCTCGAGAATGTGATTATTTGTGGGCATTTTGCCGTATTCCGCTGATTATTCTGCTGTTCAGGGTATGTATATGGGTACCGTAATACTCCGTACTACTATTCCATTCTGGGTAGATAGTGGGTCAGCCTTGGATTGATTAGCGCTGCGGTAACCTGGAAATCAGATAGCGATCAGTTCCTGATCAACTTGCTCGTGACTCAAAGTTCAACTTTCATCAACAACCCAGTACTCTCCAATGTCGAAGCAACAGCTCTTCCAAATCCTCCCGTTGCCCGACGAGGACTTGCAACAGGTGCTTGACTATGCCTCGACGCTGTCCAAGGCCGAAGCAGCCGCCCATTTCAGCAACCTGCTAGGGGACTCGCCCCAAGTCATCGACTTCATCTCCACCTTCAACTCGCGCCGCGCCGACCCAAAACACCCGCCCACCACCGCGCCGAGCTCAGGCCAGAGTTCCGAGATTGAAGGCGTCACGAAGCACCGCCGCGCCGCGAAAAAGAACAAGGCGTCGCTGCACACCCCGCCGCCGCGACAAGTCGCCTCGTTTGCGCTCGCCCCGGGGACCGTCTACAACAAGAAAGACCAGCAGGAAGACTACGTGTCGGGAAGAGCAGGGTCATCGACACACTCGAACGGCACCGGCAGCCAGAACAAACCGCCTCCAACAGTTACAAAATCTGCTACGCCCCCTCCACCCTCCTCCAAACCCCCGCCCTCCGCCGCGGGGACGCTGGTCTCTGACCTCGGCCTGCCCAAGGCCAAACCCAAATCCACCCCGGTCTCCCGCACCTCCACACCCGGCCCATCGTTCTCCGCACGGAACAATGCCCCCCACAACACCGCCGCGGCGAAAGTCTCCATCACGGGCGGCACACCGATGCACGGCTCCTCCACCGCGCTCGCCGACCTAGACCAAGCGATCCGTGCCCTCGAGATCAGCACCAACCCGTCGCTCGCAGCCAACAACAACCCCGCCGCGCGCCGCTGCAACTGTGTCGCAACCCGACACCCTTTGCTCGCGGCCGCACCGAACTGCCTGCAATGCGGCAAAGTGATTTGCGTCAAGGAAGGCCTCGGCCCCTGCACCTTCTGCGGCACCCCGTTGTTGACCCCCGCGGAAGTGCAGGGTATGATCCGCGAGTTGAAGGCGGAGAGGGGAAGAGAGAAGATGGCGGCTGATCGGGAGGCGCATAAAAGAGTAGATGGAAGTGGGGGTGGGGGAGGGAGAAATTATGCGGCGAAGCCCGATCCTAGTCTTGCTGAGGCTATGGCCATGCAGCATCGTGACAGGCTGCTTGCGTTTCAGGCGCAGAATGCTAAGCGGACGGTGGTCAGGGATGAGGCGGCTGATTTTGATGTTTCGTTGACCGGTGGGAGTATGTGGGCTACACCGGAGCAGAGGGCGCTTGCGCTGAAGAAGCAGCAGAGGTTATTGAGGGAGATGGAGTGGAATGCTAAGCCGGAGTATGAGAAGCGGCAGCAGGTGGTTAGTATTGATCTGAGTGGGAGGAAGGTCCTGAAGAAGACGGTCAAGGTGGAGCGGCCGTCGACGCCGGATGATGACTCTGATGATGCTGGAGGTGGGGAGGGATCTGCCTTGGCGGAGACGGATGGGAATAGGAGGCCTGGTCAGGGCGCGTTTAGCAGGAATCCACTGCTGGGGAATCTGGTCAGGCCGGTGTATGATCCAGAAGGGAAAGGGGTTGAACTGCAGGGTCGAAAGGACAGGGGTCCAACTTGGCGAAAGGTGCAGGACGACTTGGACGATAACCAGGATGTGATCCTCGACGGCGGCATCTACGGGGGGAAGGCGACGACAGGTGACGAGCCTGGGTGTGGATGAGGCCGGTAGAAGATGGGAAATGGCGTGTACTCGATTCCCTCTGCTATCATTGTTGGATTTGGGTCGTCTAGGCTGGGGCGAGCTCAGTGCTCACTGTACCTATCTGCCCCACCGAGAGCGTATCGAGGAACCAGCCGCCAGGTACAACCTGCCGGCCAAGTCAATGATGACATTCGGCTCGAGGTGGATGTGGAAATATGCTCCTGTGCTTGCTAGCGCAAGGTGTTACCGAACTCGCCATCCCTGGTTACGCCCCAACCAGTCGTCGCTAGGGCCATTCGACAATTGCTGTTATGCTTGGAGCGTAGATCCGAACTGCTAGTCTAGGCTTGGAGACTATCACGGGGCATCTTCCGGACGTCATGTGCTGACCGCAACTCTTTCGGAGTCACAGTCGGTTACTAGGGGGACGACACCTGCAGTACCTGAGTTACCCCGGTCCTCAGCCGTCTAGTTGCTGGTAACATGGATATCATCAACATCTTGAACTTGAAGCTCTCGGTGTCTGTACACACTTGAGGACTCAAGCTTGGAAACGACGCCAAATTTCACCGCTAAAGCACCTGATAATCCGCATTTACCGGCTTATGCGTGGCTGTGAAGGGCGTATCGACGTTTGCAAATTATCGCGTTTGCGGATCGCGTATTCAGCTGTGTAAGCAGCGTATACACCAGGCTGAATACGCACAATATCGACATGATCTTCCAAGAACACTTACTATAAATCAGTCGGCGACGCCCTCAGTCAAGGCACCTCAATCTCTTCACCGAGCCATCGGACAACGTCATAACCAGCGTCAACACCTATCAGCCCTCAGCACTATCCAACATCACTTCATTGTCAACCCTTCAGACGCAAAAATGACTTTCATCTCGCTCGCCCGCCTGACCGCCATGCTGGCCTTGTCCTCCTCGGTGCTGGCGGCTCCCCAAGTGCAACTCAGCGTCCCTGCGCAGCTGCAGCTCGCCGACACGTAAGTGCCAACCTGATGGGTCGAGGCGATCACTCAATCTACCCACCGTTCACAGCTGACGAGCCATGTCTGACCTCTACTAGTGTCGCCGAGAGATACCAGATCCTCAACAAAACCGAGGACTTTGTGTTTGACTTCAACAAAATCCCCTTGGCAAATCGCAAGACCTTTCCCGCCCTCGTTGGGACCGGTGGTGCACTGGCCGTTGCTGAACTAGCGGGTGAGTTCCCACACTTCCCCAACATCACCTACTACCCACGCACATGCTGGTACTGACGCGACCAGGCTGTGGCATGGCCGCTCTGCACATCCACCCACGCTCCGCGGAACTGTTCGCCGTCCTCTCGGGCCGCGTGTACACGGAAATGATCACCGAGACAGGCGTTGTCGACGCCAACGGCAACCCGCGCCTGGTCCGGACTGAGTTGGGTCCCAAGCAAATGACGGTGTTCCCGCAGGGTTCGTTTCATGCCCAAATGAACCCGGACTGCACCCCGGCGCTGGCTATTGCCGCATTTACCTCGGACGATCCGGGTGCGGCTCTGATCCTGCCGCAGGCGTTTGCAGAGACGGATGACTTTGTGCTGAACGCGTTTGGGGGCGCCATTGGGAAGGAGGAGCTGGCGAAGTTTAGGAAGTTGATGCCGAAGGGAGCGATTTTTGAGGTCGAGGAGTGCCGGAAGAGATGTGGTTTGTAAGGGGGTGTCTACCATGGAGTAAGGGCTGGTGAAAGGGCTGTGGTGAGAGTCTTGTTTCCTGTCAGGGGTATAACTTCCAACTGGGGTCCAAAGGGTTAGAAGTTACGGCCTACAGCTTTGACGGGAGCATGTTTGTCTGCTTGAAAGAGGAAGGGAGGAGGTCATGGGATTTCGATTTCATGAACTCATATAGACTTTCGCGAAATTCAACACCCTTCGCTTGCAACAACTGGGAAGGTTTATAGCATTCATGGTTATTGAGTCTTAGGTGTATCAGTACCATATGAATTCGTTTCCCACAAGTCTGTGTGTTTCCGCATTACCTGGGCTGTCGTCGAACCACTCCTACCAGTATTTGGTGCTGCCTCTAACCAACGACCACCAGCGATTTTGCCCTTCAAGTTGTTAGCTACTAGGTATGCCTTTCAGCAATGATTGCTTACCCGTTCAACTTCTTGTTCAGGGCATAGCAACCCACGTTCGAGCGCCCAGTTGACAGCGCTCCCCGTCACCCGCTGCCAGTACAACAGAATCCTGGGCCAATTCTGTGGTGGTCATCAGGTCATGAATAAGACCGGTTTCTCCGAACCGAAGGCCATTGCATATCAGCCCTTGAATACCCAGTACCAACTTTACCTAACAGATGGTTCCCTTTCCTCGAGTGTTAATTACAACGTCGAGTTCGGCTGCTCGGTTCTTGCTCGGTATTGTAGTCTTATGTCAGAAAGTTGCCATTATGTGCAAACGCGGATTCGGCGACCTTCCACAATAGGAAATCGGGATCAAACGCTCGAGGGGCTCCGATGCGTAGACCGAGTTCCTACTACTACTGTGTAAGTTGTTTGGTGCTTTACCACCTCTTGTTGGTCGCTCAGCGCTTATCAGATCCCACTTATCAGATCCTTTGCCCCTGATGAGGGGCACAGTCGCTCGCTCGATCGTATATACGAGCCTATTACAACACCAATGTAAGCATAGAGGATGATCCACAGGTCCAGCAGTGGAGTACAAAGAGTGAATCATCCGGCGACTTGCTCCCTCATGTTTTCTTTCTCATCAGTCTCCAGTCAACTGCTGCACTACTTCTAGCATAAGGTATTGTTGTCATTGCCATTACAAGCTACCCAACCCTGTGCAGCAACCATCCCTCTTTAAGAACCTCATCAAACCAAACATCACAACCTTAACTCTCACCTCCCCAACATGTCCGGTTCCGGAGGCACGGCCAACCCCGCGTGGACCGCTGTCGACGCCTACTCCTTCTCCCACTGCCATCCGGCATCACGCCCCAACACCACTATCCTCGAAAACACCCTGAAAGCCACTGAGGAAGCAGGCCTGCCCGCCATCGCCGTGTCCCCGTCGCAGGGCAAGTTCCTCGCCTTGCACTGCCGCTCGCACGGCGTCACCCACGCACTCGAAGTCGGCACCCTGGGCGGGTACTCTGCCATCTGGCTAGCCAGCGCGAACCCGCACCTGGTCAAACTTACAACAGTCGAGTACGACGCCCATCACGTCGAGGTTGCGCGCAAAAACATCGAGGCTGCGGGACTGTCCGACCGGATCGAGGTCATTCATGGTGCTGCGCTGGATGTGTTGCCAAAGTTGCAAGAGGAGGTGAAAGCGGGCAAGAGGGAGAAGTTTGGGTTTGTGTTTATCGATGCGGACAAGGTCAATAATTGGAACTATTTCAAGATGGCGTTGGAGATGGTCAGGCCGAATTCGGTTATTTGTGTGGATAATGTTGTGAGACGGGGCAAGTTGGCGGATGCGGATAACACGGAGGAGGGTGTGGTTGGTAGCAGGCAGGTGGTGGAGAATGCGGGGAAGGAGAAGGGGGTTGATGCGGTTGTGCTGCAGACGGTGGGTGAGAAGGGGTATGATGGATGGCTGTGGGCGCTTGTGGAGTGATTCGAGCGTCACGGTTGGGGGAGGGGATTGACATAGGGTACTACCGTGACCTTACCCACCTGTAGTACGATTAGACGGAGGATTTCGACTATGCCTCTACCCAGGGAGTAACCACCATTGATATCTCTATTTTCACCGGTACTGCCGGGGGTTTGAGTCACGCCGGCTGCCTTATCTACCGGCATACGGTGTCAGCTCCGTGCTGTTTCCGGCCATGGTGACTTCGGGTCGGCCCGGATTTAAGTAGCAATAACTTATCATATTTGCTCTCACAATGCCAACAGCACCGGACCCAATTACTTCCCCATAACTCCTAATTCCTACCTAGAGGACTCTCAATAAGCGAGGGGTCCTCGCGTGCAGCTTCCTCAATTTGCTTCCTGTAGGTCCTGACCGTGTCCATGTTGACCGTGTGTTCCTTCAAACCTACGTCTTTTTCGAGGCGCAGACAGACCTCCAGATCACTGCAGGCGCCATGTTAACTCAACCAGCTGGTGTGATTGGTAAATGTTGGGAGTTGCCTCAACTTACATTTCCGTTATCAAGGTGATGACCTGCCCCGGATTTTCGGTATGAGCTAGATGGCTGGCTCGTTGCGTATATGTTTTGGGAGTAAATCTCCACGCCGTGACATCGTAGTTAATAACGCGGTTGACCTTGGGGATCATGAGAGGACCAAAATTGGCCGCTATGTCGGTTGTCACAATGGCAAGACACTCCTTGCGGCGGGGTCTGCCCAAGGAAGCTGCCCGCTCTGATGGAGAAAGATCACAGTGGAGAGAAACGGCGCGTACGTTGAGGGCATCGAGCAAATGGGAGACCCGGCGTGTCTCGGTAATGGATCGAGTGAAGATTGCCGTCGTCTGGTTAGCTGCTTGGGCCTCGTTGCAGAGGTGGACGAGGCAGGCGTCCCTGAGTCGCTGAAGAACGAAGATGGAGTAGTGATCTACCGGTATCATGATAGGAATGATGGGATTATTGCGTGTCCTCGGGCAGGAATTCCTGCCCTGTCTTCTTTCCGGGTTCCATGGACATGTGTTGAATTACTTCGATGCGTTGGTCGCTATGTTCGTTTCGATTATGTCGCGACTTCGGTGCAACTGGGGAGACACTACAGGTAGCAGCAATGTGCTGCGAAGTCCACCTTTTATGAATGGAGAGAAAATCCAAAAATCTTGTGGGCGTCCAACAAAGTTAAGCCGTTAATAAGGGGTCTGGCGTTGCTGATAGTTTGGGGCCGGTGCGTGGCCGCGGCAGGCTAGAGTTGTTAGCGCTATCGAGGACTGTCTGAGAGCGTCAAAGGACAGCAAAGAAAGCAAGAAACAACAAATATATCTCAGGTGGTGCCCAGCGCAAGAATCTAAATTATGGGGAGAGATCTAGGGTAATATACATCCAAACAACGCGGCGGTGGTCTGTCCCACGAGACTCATACGTCACGGTGAGGCAAAGCCGCAAAGTGAGAGCCTCTCATACCTCCTACTCCAATCCTCTACCAAGAGGCTTCCATGAAACAGGAAAGGGGATATCGAACAAGCCTCCCTCTCCCGAACAAGAAACGTACCTACCTTGACTATCCGAATATACGGAGCAACCATCCTGCTCCTGCCTGCCCTACAACTACCAAGGCAGCACCCGTCCAACCGACCCATATTGAACAACCGTCTCTCCTGCTTCTTGACCAGGAAGACAACCACCTGAACATATTGAGCAATCCTCCCATCGACATTTCTATGTCGAAATCCATCCAATTGGCCACATGAAGCAACCCGGACCTCCTATAATCCTCACCGCCGCCTTCGCGAAATGGCTCTGTCCAACTGACCGATATTGAGCAACCCTCCCGCTGCTCACATTAACCCCCAAGAAATGCACCATGTGGCCGACCGGTATCGAGTACGGTAGCCGATCGTAGATCCGTTGCAAGCTGGGGTGCGTATCATCTGAGTTAGGTGGAAGGCGTTTCGCTGAGCTTATCAGACGCATAGCGCTGAATGATGCTGATTGTCCTGAAGGTCACGGTAGGCGACGCTGGGGTTGGTCGCAGCATGTGACCAGGTCGCAGTGGGTGGCGGGTGGTGATGATTGACCGGGAGACGGATGACAGACCACAGATGAGGCGAAACTCTCAGTCTGGAGGTCAGAAGCTGAATAACTGAAGGATGTGCCAGTGTCACAGCTGCAGCCGTGCTGGCCAGGTACATACCTATGGCAGATGGCTTGATAACTCTCTTTTCACCGCTTCTGCCTGGGGGGTTTGAGCCATGCCGGCTATCTACCGGCAAGCGGTGTCAGTCCCGTGCTGTTTCCGGGCGTGGTCCTTTGGCTCGGGCCGGGTTTAAGTGCGCCCACTTTTTAACTCCAGTCCGATGTTTTTCTTCTGAGGCCCAAACATGAGCGAGCATCGGACTCATGAACGTGATCCTGAACTGCCGTTTACCAGAGGAAACCTACCGGACTTGTGGATATCCGTCACGCTGATCAGAACTTCAATTCCCCAGCCGGCTGAGATGGCGGAAGCAGCCACCGCAACCGAGCCCGCCTCCAAAAGCGAAGCCATTACCCCAGCCGGCAACATGAACAGCGACTCAACCCCCCAGCCTCAACAACCCCTCTACTCCGTCTTCTCCCCACGCATGAAACAGTTCCTAGTAGTAATGACCGTCTTCGGGACCTTCTTCTCGCCCTTCTCCTCATCCATCTACTTCCCCGCCATCACGCCCATCGCAACCGAATACTCCCGCTCGGTCAACGACATCAACCTCAGCGTAACGACGTACCAAATCATGCAGGCCATCGCCCCGCTCTTCTTTGGCGATCTCAGCGACCAGATCGGCCGCCGCCCCGTCTACATGCTGGGCTTCGCCATCTACCTGGCCGCCAACATCGGCCTGGCCGAGCAGCACAGCTATGCGGCGTTGATGGTGCTCCGTGCGATGCAGAGTACCGGGTGTAGTGCGACGGTGGCTATGGGGAATGCGGTTATTGCTGATTTTACTACTAGTGCTGAGCGCGGGGGGTTTATTTCGGCTGTGCAGGCGAGTATTATGTTCGCGCCGGCCCTGGCTACGACGGTGGGCGGGATTTTGTCGCAGTTTCTTGGTTGGCGGTCGACGTTTTGGTGTATGGCCATTGCGGCGGGCGTGTTTCTGCTTGTTTACATCCCGTTCGTGCCCGAGGCGAGTGGTCTCCCAGGCTGTAGTCCAAGTCGGCCCGTTCGCTGACGTTTGATTCCGCTGTAGACCGCGCGGAACATAGTTGGCGACGGATCTATCGCCCCGCCGGTCCTCAACGCCTCGCTCATGTCCGAGTATCGCGGCTGGAAAGCACGCCATGACCAGACAAACCCGCAGCAGGTCCCGGAGCGCAAAAAGATGCCGCGCAAGCTGCCCATCCCAAACCTCCTTGCAGCCGTCCTCATCATGTTTGAAAAGGACATAGGCCCCCTGATGCTCCTCATGTCGCTGCTGGTCATGGCCAACTACGCCGTCATGGTCCCCATCCAGGACGTCATCCGCCGGCAGTACGACTTTAATGATTTGCAGGTCGGGCTCTGCTATATCCCCTTCTCGGTCGGATCCGTCGTCGGCTCGGTCGTCATGGGCAAATTGCTCAACTGGAACTATGCGCGGGTTGCCAGGAGTATTGGCATGTCGCCGGACCGAAAACGGGGCGACGATCTCCGCAAGTTTCCCATTGAGCGAGCGCGGCTGGACCTGGTGTGGCCTTCCCTCTTTGTGGCTGTCGGCGCGATTATTGCCTGGGGCTGGGTGGTTGTGTCGGGAGTGAATCTGGCTGCGCCGCTGGTGGTTTTGTTCTTGGTTGGTGTCGCGTCGACCGGGCCGTTCTCCATCTTGACGACACTGCTCGTTGATCTTTATCCGATGAATCCGGGGAGAGTGTCGTCAACCTTCAATCTGACACGCGCGACCTTCAGTGCCGCGGGCACGGCGGTTGTGCAGTACATGATTGATGCCTGGGGGTATGGCTACACGTATCTCTTTCTGGGAATGCTCGTTTTGGCCGCAAGCCCGAGCGTGCTCATTGTGCGGAAATGGGGTCCTAGATGGAGGGAAGAGAGATTTCAGCGTCTTGGAGGGCCAGGCGCATGACGTGATGGAGTAGGGCAGGAGTCAGATATACTCACTCATGCATATCTAGGGTCTTTCATTGCAGAGCATGAGAGCAGTTGTGCTACATTCGCATGGCGAAGTGCCCTGTACTCGCTTCTGTCCCGTCACTGCGGTTTGGGTTCTGGTGGCTTTCCGGAACAAGCCTAGAAGGGGCTCCCCGCGCAGTGGATCCGGGGCAGTCGCTGCAGTGGCTTGGAGCCTGAGCCAAGACCGGACCGTCCACGGATTCGCAAGTCGATCCAAGGCGCTCACATAGGCAGAACATCTAGTGTAACGAGCAAGTTCTTGCACTTGGGCCTAGTATACTCTGCACATACATTAAGATTAATACTTTCCAAACAATAGGTCGAGAAGAGAGTCAAGAGACTGTTGATCTCCCGCTGGTGTTCCCCGGTTGGTGTCACTGTTGCACAAATCAGCCCCACTTATCAAAGCTCGGGGTCAATTGACGGGAACCTTGGATCGCTCCTTCTTGGCACACATCAGCACAACCGTGAGGCCCGAGCTTCTGCAGGCTTGGCTCTCGGGGAACAGCTGGAGCCGTCTCGTCGCGCGTTGTGGCACCTACTCCACCCTCCCGCGAACCCTTGAGCACCGTTACAGCACCTGGCGCCAGTTCAATAGAGAAAACCTAAACATTTCAGAAGTGGCATCTTCCTGTAACCAACTGCCAGGTGGTTCGTTGGGCAGAGCGGCTGCTGTTTCGCGTGCAATTTTCTGTTCTACCCTTCAAGATCCCAATTATCACGCGCGTTCAGTCACCGTTTAAAGTGCTACCCCGCCATCATTCGATTTAGAAACGCGTCCGTTAACAACAAAGCCTCGAGCGCGATATCGCCTGTTTCTCACCACCATTGAACCTGAATCGGTGAGACCGCCTTTCGTCACGCACGCAAGTACAAACCGTCAATCCATTGTCTTGTCCCGAACCATGGTTCGATAATCAGGCTTTCCCTGCCAACCAACTCTCTCGGCGCGTGTCATCGCCGGGTCCTTTTTGTCGTTCAGTCCGATGCGGTACCAATCGGCCGGGTTCCAGAATGCCGACTACACACGTCGAACCGGGCGCCGAGGCCCTACTACAAGAAATTGCGAATTCGGTTTGGAAAGCTCGGAAGATCGTCGTCATCACTGGCGCGGGCATCAGCACGAACTCGGGCATCCCTGTAAGTTGACGCGTTTTCCAGTCTCTCTGGTCCTCGTCGCGACAGCTCTAACGCCTGCCTCCAGGACTTTCGGTCGGAAAATGGGCTATATTCATTGATTCAAGCCCAGTTCGAGGCCGCGCGGCGGCAAGACCTTGGTACTAGCAGCGATAACGACTTGTCCAACGTATCTCGAGAAGACAGGCCCGCGAAACGCCGGCGGCTATCGCGCGCTGGCTCCCCAGAGAGCAATGAGAGACTGTTTCCAGGGCTAGGGAAAAGCACACAAGATGCCAGTGCCCAGTCGGGAGGAGGACAAGGTGGCATGCTAGGGGAGGATCCCTCGAGAGTCACGGCCAATGCGCCACACCTTTTCTACAACACAGGTTCCTCGAAAGGCAGCCAGAGCGGGCCGGATATGATGGCAGATCAGGAACGGGGCGCATCTTTCGACCAACTCCCAGCACCCGCACTGACCCCGCCCGCGATCCAAACCCCCGTCTCCAACCATATCTCTATCGAGACGCAAGGGGCGTACGGCAACCGTCCCACCGAGGAGGCACATGTACCGTTCGCCTCGTCACCTCCCTGCCTTAGTCTCGAAACCGTACACCTCCAGCGCAGGCCAGACTTAATGAACCTACAAACACGCAGCTCCTCGCCGCTCTCTTCTCCCCCTCCGATTACATACGACCCCTACCAAGAGTCTCAGGGCGATCCATCAAGCTCGCCCCCTAGCCAAGTCGGAAATTCCTCCCGGTCCCCTAGTGAAGGACCGTCCTCTGTTTCAACTCCGCCCCTGACCTCACAAACCTCTTTTGCGTCTTCCTCCAGCAGGAATTCATTACCTAACATGAAGGGGCGAGATTTGTTCGATGCCCAGATCTGGTCCTGCCCTATCAAGACCTCCGTCTTTTACACCTTTGCTACCACACTTCGGCAAAAGGTGCGTAGCGCTGAGCCGACAAGCAGTCACCGCTTCATCAGCGTGCTTCGCGACAGCAGGAAACTAGTCCGATGTTATACCCAAAACATTGACCAGCTGGAGGAACGCGTGGGTTTGACCACCTCGTTGTCGCTTGGTGCGGGAAGCCGTTACCGCTTCTCTGCCCGGGCTGGGCGCAAACCTGATGGAGCTAGGACTTCCATGAAGGCAGCCGAGACCTCTGTGGACCCTGCCCAGGGGTCATCACAGCAAGGAGAGGAGCAGCAGCCCGAGTCTCAACCGTTGGAGAAGCCGCAAACCAACCTGGGGTCAGCTGATTCTAGTGAATCTGACGGCGCAGGCACGGTACCATCTTCACTGTCAGGCCCTGATCCAAGTAGCACCCAAGATGAAACCCAAGCCTCGATCCCCTCAGCTGCAGCCGCCGCACCCGCCCCGGCATCCCCGAACCGTGGCGTCGAATGTGTCTTCCTGCACGGGTCCCTCGCCAAACTTCGCTGTTTCGTATGCGCACGCACCGCGTCGTGGGATGAGGAAGCGCGCCAGGCAGATACCCTCGCCGGCCGGCAGCCGACCTGTCCCCATTGCGCCGGAGCTGCCGCGGCTCGGGAGGAGAAAGGGAAGCGGGCGCTCGGAGTGGGCAAACTGCGGCCCGATATCGTCCTCTACGGCGAGGAAAATCCCTGTACACAGTTCATCAGCCCTCTAATCCAGCACGACCTCTCCCTTGGCCCAGACATGCTCCTGATAATGGGGACTAGCATGCGCGTTCACGGGCTTAAGGTGCTCGTGAGGGAGTTTGCCAAGGCGGTGCATGATCGGGGAGGCAAGGTTGTTTTGGTGAACTTTACGAAGCCGCCGGATAGTGTTTGGGCTGAGGTTATTGATTACTGGGTCCAGTGGGATTGTGATGCTTGGGTTAATGATCTCAGAACGAGGAAGCCGGCTCTGTGGCTGCCGCCTGATGCTCCCCTTCCCGAGGAGGAGAAACAGAAACCTAAGAAACCATCACGCAGGCAGAGCGGGGATGAGCACGGCAAGCAGCGGGAGGGTACTGAGAAGACCTCTGGGAAAGCGAAGCGGGGCCGGAGTTCGCTGGTTGGCGAGGAGAGCGAGCGCGGCGGTGCATCGACTGAACAGGAGCAGAGGGAAATCTATCCGTCTTCGCAACTACACGGCATGCCGCCGCCACGCCCATCGGGCCAGACGTTGCCCAAGAGATTTGCCAACACCTACAGAGAGCCAAGACTGAACCCCAACGCGAAACGGCCTGCAGCGATTCGCGACCACAAGCTCAACGGCGCGTACCTTGTGTGGAAGATCATGTCAGAACTTCGCCGTGTAACTGGCGGCAACCCACCTTCGTCTGCTGCACAGTCTCCTAGCGGGACACCTAGAACCGCCAGGCCGAGGCCAAAAGGGCCTCGTAAATCAGCCCCCTCAGCCTCCATGTCCCTAGAGGTCAAGCCCGAGCAAGTTTCGGTCGCGGATCCCTTTCCACCCCTGCCTGCGGATCAGAAGAAACCGAGCGCCGCGGTGTCATCCCCAGTTCCCCCGAAACAACCTGACGGAAGTGTTGAGTCGGTCGTTTCAGCGCAGGCCGAGTCTATCTCGGCTGCGGTTAAGAGCCGCAAGCGCAAGCAAACAGTATGGCGGATGATCGGTGGCGTCGAGACCAAGGTCTCTCTCGCCCCTGAGAGCGAAAACATGTCACCGTTGCCTACCACAACGGCTAGGTTCAGGCCCTCCCCGCAACCATCAACCCAACTTCACATGCGCACCCTACCGCTACCGATACCCACCAAGCCTGCCCAATCCATCTCACTCCGGTCCAGCCACAGCACACCAACCTCCACCATGACCGACCAGTTCGGGACAATAATCAACAACAACTTCCGCGAAACCGACCGGCTCATCGCGCAGCTGCAGCTGCATCGCGAATCGTCACCACACATTCCCTCACCGAACCCGATGGTATCAAGGCCTAGCACGCCGCCGGTGCCGGTGCCTGTTCGACTTGCGCCTCTCAAAATCCCGCCTGCTACTGGTACTTCCGCCGGGACTGTTGACCGGCAACAGGAAACCGTCTCACCCAAGCTGGCGACGCTGGAACCGAATATCCCCTCCCCCGGCCCGGGCGCGGCGGCGATGATGATATTGTGTGATGTCGGCTCGCCTTCGCCTGCTGAGACAATTGCTGCGTCGCGCGAGCGGAGGGAGAGAAGGCTGAGTTGGGCTACTGCTATGGGTGATCCGTTCTTCTTTGCTGATCCGCTGGGTGGGTTGGGCCACCTGGGCGGGCTTGGTGGGACGGGGGGGTTGGCGTACCCGCCGAGCTGGACACACGCACACCAAGGCCAAGAGGGGAGGCAGGTGCATGGTATAGTGGGAGCACCAGGAGGGGAGGAATGTGACAGTGGTGGGAGTGCCGGTAGGATCGAAGAAGGTCCGGATGAGCAGCTCAGAAAAGAGCAGGAGGTCGCGCTGATGCTGTCTACCATGCGAGGGACGTGATGGATACTTACTGGCGGGAGTGGTTGTGAAGCGGTGGTGAATTGATTGGAGGGCCAAGTTGTGACGGTCCCTTAGAAGCCGAGGGACCTTCTTGTGTAGGCGTATGCATGTTTGGTTGGGCCATACGGGAATGATTTGCTCCGCATCATCAGATAGGAAAGGGCGTCTTCATGTTGGGTTGATTTTGTTGGGTTATACTGGATCTGGACGGGATTTGGAGGAGCACGCTGTTTGCTGGGGGCGTTGGGGAGTATTCTCGGCGTGGTGTTTGAGAGGATGTACGGCGTGGCATCTACGGCGTTGGACCGGAGTCCCGTCTATAGGCGACGGCCCATGTTAGAGTATAACTGTCATCGAACATTAACTCGAGAACATGAACGCCAGCTAGGTTTATCTATCCCTTTCCCACCAGCCACGCGCTAGAGTGGTGTGTTGTCTAAAGTTAGGGACAGCGGTTTATGTGGTGGTAGACTTGGTCGACGGGACTGGTACGGGGGGCAAACATGGCCGGATTGCGTCATTGAGCCCGCACCATCACAATGACCTCAGCGAACCGAAAGCCTTATAAGTCCCAATAACCGGCCCGCCATGACCGTACATTAAGCACATACAAATCACGAAAACCACAAAACACGGATATTATTCAACGAAACAATGCTTAGAGCCAACATCGGCAAACAAGGCATCAGGGTGTGCAATGGTGCGCGCCCAGTCACGCGCCCACGGCGGGCCACAAACGTCAGGACGGCCATGTACAGGAAGGACAGCCCGGATGGGACCACATCACAGCTGGAATGGACCCCGAAAACGTGAGTGGAAGGATCTTATGGGTGGGGTTGGCATCGCAATGTTAAGAGTTCACTGTTACAGATATGCCATGATCGGAGGTTCCATCCTAGCCGTCGCGGGACTGTACGGGCTCATGATGGGCAAGCCGGGCGGTGTGATCAGGACTGAGAAGAGTCCCGTGTCAACGACGGAGAAGGATGCGAAGAAGGTGCCGGAGAAGCCATGAACAAGCCTCTAGGGGGTTCGTCGACGGGAACATGAACGGCATGAGAGGGATGGTGGACGGAGAACCTGTGAATGGGGGAAGCTGGAAGCAGGAGGCCTTTTCAACGAAGGATTACCTACAATATCTGGTAAATTGGTCACTTAGGGGAAATGCCAGACCGGGGTGGTGTCGTTGGCGTTGGGGGCGTGTTATGGGGAAATGATCATGATGAATACAGAAGAACCCCTACTGGTATTTCAGCAATGAGAGAATAATACATTCTTTGTTTGGTTTTAATCTGCTTCTCTCATTATGTAGCATGCCAATATTTTCCTATCATGGTATATCAACCTTTGGGAAGGCTAGTGGGCGCTTAGAGTAACGGCTGAGAAATCGAAACGAGAGAGACTGGTGTGGAGGGAAATTAAGGCACATACAAGGAATTACATACCACTTGGGACCTCATTGACTTCTACTAGAAGTCCTGTAAAACACTTGCTCGGGTAGTCCCACTTCCTGACTTCCAACCTCCGGCTCCCGGGTACTCATATAAAGGGGAAGGAGGAGCGAAAAGTATATCAGGGTTAGGGTAGGCCACCAATGTCAGAGTCAGTTCATTTTCAGCTCGCCAAGCAATCACGAATTTCAGCGGTCTGTCGCCCCTGAACAAACCACCACACCCCAGGCAGATCAACAGCTGTACATCCTGTACAGCATATAATGTCAGCCGATAGAAGCGATGGCTTCCTCTCATATCATGAGCCCAACAGTACGTAACTTGAGCCCTGGGCCCTTCCAAGTTTCATCTTTAGCACTCGTCCTCTGAGTCTCTCACCACATATTGATGCATCGCCAGTCATCGAAATCCTGACGCTCGTGTCGTTCTTTCTGTTCCTTTCTGTGTCCGAATGGCTGGCCGACAAGACCATCGGCGCGTCTCTGATTGGGCCTATCGTTGTCGGCCTCCTATTCGGTTTCCCAATCGGTAACATCCTGGCGCCGGCCTGGCAGGAGACGTTCCTTGCGCTTGGCTATATCGGCCTTATTCTCATCATCTTTGAAGGTATGCTTCCTCTTTGCTGTGCCAACGTGCACCCTGCTAACTCTCAGCAATATGCGAATGAAGGCGGCCTCACGATCCGCTTGGACCTCCTCCACCAAAACCTCCTCCTCAGTCTCATCGCTGCCCTCATCGGGGTGCTTACTCCGATCGCCGTGTCCTTTGCTTTCCTATACGCCGGATCCCATCATGGTATGTTCCCTGCCCCATAGCCTCAAACTGTTTGAGCCATACTGTACTAAGCCGCAATCATCTATAACCTCGCACACAGCTCCCCTGGAAACATTCATCCTCGGCACGTCTCTCTGCTCCACCTCACTAGGAACAACCCTCGTCCTTCTCACCAGCGCCTCCTCCTCCTCTAACTTCAGTGACAACACCAACAACCACACCGCTCCCAATGGTACCAAACCCAATCACCCTCCCACAGGTAACACTGACTTCTCCCAAACGCGGATCGGCACCGTTCTAGTCTCAGCCGCCGTCATCGACGACGTGTGCGGCCTCGTCCTCGCAGCGTGATCCACCAGCTGCGGGGCATCACTGAGTCCGGCGGTGGTGGCAGCAGCCTGGGGTGGATTATCGGCCGGCCTGTGCTGGCTAGCAGCCTGATGGCGCTGCTGACGCCTGCTGTGGCACGGTTCGTTGCCAGACCGGCTTTTCGACGATGGTTTGAGCCGTGGATGGCTGGTCCTACCGCCGCTGGTGGTCTTGATGGTGAAAAGGTGGGATTATGGAAGCGCAAGGCCTGCGTTGTGGAATTGATGCTCATGGTCTTGATTCTGAGCGCATTCCTCGCCATCGCGGCGTACGCGGGCGCGTCGGTCTTGTTTGGCGCTTTCTTGGCTGGCGGATTCGTGGCTTCTTTGCCTGCCACTTCCGAGCGTGGGCCTGGTGAGAGGTGGTTTGTTGAGGCGTTTGACAGGTACACAGGCGGCGCTCGCGGCCATGTCCTTCAGCCGCTGTTCTTTGCGAGCATCGGGTTTGCGGTCCCTTTTCGGGAACTGTGGGTCGGCGAGGTCGTTTGGAAGGGGGTTGTTTACACCCTGCTCATGGCGTTCGCCAAGATGATTGTGGGTGTTGTTGTTCCGGTTCAGGACCTCGTTTCTCAATTGTTCCGGCGGAAGGGGTGGGCTGCCGATAAGGACATGCCGGCGCGACCTCGCGGGTGGGCGCCGGCAGCGCTGCTTGGTGCTGCCATGGTCGCTCGTGGCGAGATCGGCCTTCTCATCATCCAGATTGGGCTCAATGAGACGCCGTTCCTGACCAACAAGGGGTTTGCGATCGGGGTGTGGGCTATCGTGCTCAACACCGTCATCGGGCCGGTCATGGTGGGCATCCTGCTCAAGCGGGTTGGGCCCAGGATTGCTCGTGATGTTCGATGGGGCGTCCAAAACAGGGAAACTTCGGAGGTTGAGCAGATCGGAGGCTCAGGCACGGACGGGTCGATGCTGGAGTTGCGTTGATCCGCAAGACCCAAGAGTCCTCGACCTGGTTCTGTCCGTCTCTGGTTCACTGAAGCTGGTCGGCTAGGCCCGACCAGGAATACATGTTCGCTCAAAATAGAAGCGAGCCGGCGTTGGGGCCTCAAACTCATGGCGCCAGAGAGAAAGGGGGAAGGCGTCTACCGGCTAGATGCAGCTGAAGTCATTCGGTCGCCTGCCGGCCGCGAAGGTCATCCGTCTCGGCGTGCCGAGGTTGCCAGATCGGATTGTCATGGTTGAACAAGCCTGACCCGCGGCGAATCGGAATTTAAAACGCAAGACAGAAATTGACACGATACCGAGCCAGGGGCGATACGACGACATGGCCCAATGAGGAAGGGTGCCGGATTGGCGGAGGGCAGGCTCCATTTTCGCGGCTGAATGGTGTGCTTCTTCGGAACCGCTCCGTGGACCATTACCGTCCTGGGAAGTTTGGCTAAGCCCATATTAGCACAGTATATTGCCTCGTCTCTAGGCGCAAGACGAGATAGATTGCACCCAACATCGTGTATCCTGCGGTGCCGCCCGCCAAGCTCCGGAGAAGAAGGGCCTTCCGGGAGAACGTGCGCTGATCAAGACCCGGGCATAACCATCCCGGACTGGGGAGCTCCCTAGGCTTGGCGGCCGGTCGTTTGTCTTTATTACTCCCGCATCGCCCACCCGTGCTTTGGCTATCTCACTTGATACGGGTGGCTTGAGGGTTGTTGCCGGCTAGGAGTCCAAAAGTCCACCAAGCCCTGCTGGTTTGACGTCGACCATGCGTTGCTCTCTTTCCACGGCCCTCCTGGGCCTGTTTGCTAGCTGGACGATTGCAGCGCCCACTGTTATCCTGGAAGAGGCAAAAGGTATACCACCAGGCTGGAGCTTCCACCACAACGCCAGCGCCTCGGACAAGATCACTCTCTTTGTCGCCCTCAAAGAGCCCGGCATCAGCGAGCTCAAGGCCAGACTTCATCACCGCCACCCTTCTGGTAGCCACCTGAGCCGAGACCAAGTCCACCAGCTGCGCCAGCCCGCCCAGGCCGCAACCGACGCCGTGTCCAGCTGGCTCAAGTCAAACGGAATCCGCGACCTCCACAACCAAGGCAGTCTCATCAGCTTCGAGGCCTCAGCGCGGACAGTCAAGTCCCTTTTCCAAGCCGACCTCGCGTACTACGCCTACAAATATGGCGATGCCGATCCCCTCCTGCGGGCGCTCTCCTACACAATTCCCGCCTGGATGCGCGACTACATCGACTTTGTGCACCCCATCACCAATTTCATGCCTCCGCGGCCACGGGGCAAGCGGTGGAAGCACCCCCACAAGCCCCACCCCTGGACAAACTGGAATCCCAAGCCGACCAAACTATCCCCCTCGCCAGCAAGCACCACAACCAGCCGCAAGCCCGTCGACATCCCAACCACCTCCGCCTCCCCGGATCCGGAACCCATGTACCCCTGTTTCCCCGTAACCCTACCCGACTGCATCCGCAAGCTTTACAACATCACCTACACCCCGTCTGCCCCAAGCCCCGTACGCTTTGGCGTAGCCGGCTTTCTAGAGCAATGGATCCTGTACTCGGACGTCGACCAGTTCATGTCCATCTACGCCCCGCACCTCGCCTCCCTTTCCCCACCGTACAACTTCTCCGTGGAACTCTTCAACAACGGGATCAACCCGCAGGACTCGCTCCGCAACGCGGGCATGGAAGCCTCCCTCGACGTGCAGTACGCCATGGCGTTGGGTTATCCAACTAACGTGGTCTACTACGTGACTGGTGGGAGGGGGACGAAACTCGATGCCACGTCCGGTGAGCCGCTGCCGGTGGAACGGAGTGATAACGAGCCGTTTTTGGAATTCTTGACGGCCTTACTAGCCAAGCCCGATGCTGAATTGCCCCATGTACTAAGCATTAGCTACGCGGACGACGAAATCGGGGTGCCCCGCCCTTACGCGCTGCGGGTGTGTGACATGTTCGCGGCGCTGACGGCGCGGGGGGTTTCCGTGCTTGCAGCGACGGGGGACGGCGGCGCGGCTGGGACGGGGCAGACCCGTTGCGTGTCGAATGATGGTAGCCAGAGGAAGATGTTCATGCCCACCTTCCCCGCGAGTTGTCCGTACGTGACGAGCGTGGGCGCGACGGATAATGTGGCGCCGCCCGTTACGGGAGCGTCGTTCAGCACGGGCGGGTTCAGCAATTTCTTTGCAAGGCCAAAGTGGCAGGATGAGGTGGTTGGGAAGTATATTGATGGGTTGGTTCAGGCGAATGACACGCGCGTGGCGTTGTTTAATAGGACCGGCAGGGCCATGCCGGATATTAGTGCCATCGGGTCGGGGTTTCAGATCATCGTTGCTGGCACGGAGAGTCAGGTGCTCGGCACGAGCGCCAGCGCGCCCACGGTGGCGGCCATGATTGCGCTGGTCAATGATGCGCGGCTGCGAGCGGGCAAGAAGAGCTTGGGCTGGCTGAACCCGTTGCTGTACGAGGCTAAGGTCAGGAGCGTGCTGAGGGATGTTGTTGAGGGAGAGAGCATGGGATGCAGATTCCCGGACGGGGAGGTTTCGCCGGGGTGGTCTTCGGTTGCGGGATATGATTGCGTAACGGGGCTCGGAGTGGTTGACGACTTTAATGACTTTATGGCTGCTCTTCTATAGATGTACATATCAGTTCAGTTGAGGTATGCCAGAAAGCAAGTATTCGTCACCACCCAAACCTAGGTCTTGCTCGCAAATCCCCCCATGTTGTTGCTTGTCACATCGGATTCAAAACCGCATACTTTGTCGGACCAGCCTCTAGTCCATGATGATATATCTGACCTTCGGCTGGGCATGATGAAAAGCGCGAAAGCTCATCTTCCCAACCCCGATCCGTTCATGCCGGCTTGGCACACCCCTTTCCCTCAGCAGCAGGACATTGTAGACATCAATCTTTCCCACCTCACCAAACCGATCCGTGTCCCAAAACGGATTCCCATTCTCGCTGCACGGCCCCGTGTCCGGTGTCACATTTGTGTTCGGCGGCGGCACCTCGAGGGGCTTGCCGCCCCACTCCTCTCTGAAGAGATGGTACTGCAGCATCCGAGGTTCAACCTGCCAGTAGACATCCCAGCCCTCGGTGGGCGGGGCAATTCCGGGCAGGCTGTCCCTAGACATGGCAACTAGGTGATAGCTGTCGTCGGAGTCGAGTTCGATCTCTTCGAACGGCACGTTCAGGCTCAAAAACCCGGCGCGGTAGCCTTGATGATAAATGATGCGTTGCCAGGTGGGTCGAAAGTTGGCCGAGCGCTTCTCGTCGTTGAGGCCGATTTGTAGGTAGTCATGCTGGAAGGCTTCTGCCACGTGGCCTTCGGTGATGATATCGCGGAAGCGGACCTGTGCGCTCCGGGCCTGGAATGCCAGCAGGCTGTTATCTATGGGACGCTCAGAAACTTCTTCGCCGGGAAGCGATATGGGATAGCTGAACCGAATGTGTGGGTAGGCCGCATTGGTGTAGAAGTGCTCGTTTTTGGCCTCATCGCGCTGGTGTTCCCAGCCTTCATCTCTGTCGTAGATATGCCAGAGAGCATAAGGATCGCGGACTGAAAGGAGCAGATTGCTGTTGATGTAGCGAATCGCGGCCTCGATCTGCTCCGGCGTTGCCCCCTCACCCGATCGAATCCTCTCAATCTCGGCTTCCTTGTCAAGCGGTTCCAACCACTTGACAACAGGGACAGGTGGCCGAGCCAAGGAGTTGTAGAATCCCCGACCGCGATACGAGCTGTGGCCTTCCCAAGCGCACCAGGCCCAGCTTGGGAAGAGCGGCACGTCGCCGTTCTTTCGCCTCTTCAAGGGTTCCCGCGGCAGCCACAAGAGCGCCTGGTCAAAGGCAAACTCGGGGATGCCGTGCCAGTACTTGGTGTTTGTGCCGCGCCGGATCAACTCCCCAATAGCTGTGAAGGCGTTGACTGCATCAGAGGCCCACGTCATCTTGCGCTTCGTGTAGTCGCTGACTACCTGCCGATAGACATCCCAGAGTGTATGGCCTTCAAGCTGGAGAACCCCCGTTGAGCTAGTAGACGGTGCCTCGCCCGTTTGGTAGATCGGGGGATCCGCGGCCGAGACGCCATCTGGATTATCAGGATCTGCTGCTTGCCACACCACAGTGCCGTAGTCGGTTACGAAGGCCTTGTTTGGATATGCAGCCTGTGTCGGATCGCACCAAACGTGCAGCAGCAAGTCGTTCGCGCGGGATGTGTATTTCGTCTGATCGTTGATCGGTGTAGGCCTGTACCCGATATTAGGAACAGAAACAGTATCTTCAAAGCGTGTCGCCGCGTGGGGACAGGCGAAGGTCATCTGCGACTCTGTAAAGTATACAAGGCGCCGAGAGACAAGGCGTTCTTGAAAAGTCCACGCTCGTGAGTTCCACACCGAGTTCTCAATTTCAACATGGGGTTTCCGAGCGTCGTGGAATGCTACTCCGACGGTGATGCCCTGAAGCTTCTCCGATATCTGCGGTTGAGGCCGAGGGACCGGGCCGACGCCAGCAAGGCCATCCGAAGGGCCTGCGTTGGTGGAAGCGACGATTGTCAAGGTCGCATTGCTGTAAATGCCATGCATCTGGGATATGACCTTGGCCTTATCCTCCTGGCTGTCCTGCAGGATGCAAAGGGCGTCAATCCAGAGGTACCGAAGGCCAATCTGGCGTGTGACCTCCATGGCATCCAGGATAGTCTGTGGCAGTCTAACAGATTCCGCCATCAAACCCTGCGGTGCTTCCAAAATCGATTTCGTGGCTGCCGTATATTGCGTTTGGCTCCCTTTGCCCCAAACATACGACAAGCAAGCATAGCGGCTGTGTGCATCAATCTCACAGATCCGGTTCTCGACCGTGTCGACAACCCGTAGACTGACCAGCATTATGCTGTCCTGATGCTCATAAGGCGAACTCTGAGTCTCCTCACATGCACGGAGCCACCCTCTTAAACGGTCCAAATCAGCCTTTTCTTGACAGACACGGAGGCCTTGCAGGGGCTCTGCAGTGGCACCAGCAAATTTCTGCAGGATAATCCTAGAGTTGGCCTTGCCCCTGACGTAGCTTTCGAGCTCGACCTCGAGTTTGAGAGAGCAGGCAGGCCCATCGTCGATGACGTTCAGGTGGATTGTCTCCCCCTCAAATCTCTCGATGGGCTCATCGGGCAAAAGTTTGTCCTGGGCGATCTTTTTCCGAATGAGGCTGCAGAATGAGCAGTGTTGGTTCCTCAGAACCTTGGCCAGTGCATGCAGTGCGATCCGGGTCGGTCCAGGTTGGATATTTCCAACCAGGCCACGTTTGGTGAAAAGAGCGTTGAAGTCAATGTGTCTGCACATATCGCACAGATATTCCGGGTCGTCTTCGGGCAGAACAGGAGGACTCGGGATAAACCACTCCTCGTCGATCCCGTCGGCTGTGGAGAAGAGTCCCCAGCGGCGGACATATTGGTGATGTTTGTAGCGGCTGAATTTCTGCTCGTCCTCTGGGGTGAAGACCAATGCACTGCCGTCCTTGCCGCCCTGGGTCCCGTCGCTCTGGGTCTGCAGCCGTATCGTGACGCGTTCGAGGTCTTCATCCGACAGCCCGTCGACGTCGTGGCGCGAATGGTTGCTTGCCGCGCCCCTAGCCTCGTCCAGCTCGTCCAATACCATCCTTCCTCTTACTCTTGACTTTTCGCTGTGATCCCGCACCATCTCCCGTATGTCTGGATCTGCGATTTCGTCATCGCCATTGCGTTCCCCCATGATTCGACTTATGATGGAGTGCGTACCCCGATCACGGATCTCAAGGGCGACAATACGCCGGATGTCGTGTTTCATGGTCAGAGCTCGGGTGCTCGCAGTGGCGTGCCGTGATGTTCGGGATGCAGGCTCACGTCGTCTTGCTGTGAGTTGGAATCTGACATGTCTAGGCAGAGTCGCAGACAGAGTTTAAAATCATTGCTGAAGGTAGATATACCCCAGGCTCCCAGAAGTTCCTGCCGAATCAAAAATGTCATGGGTCATGGTGGCTCATCGTGGCGCAATTGCAGGATTGCGAGCTGCTCGGAATATACTGCGCCTCAAGGAGGCCACCTGTGCATCCCCGACGTAAAGAAGATGGGAAAAATACAGACCCATACTCCCATTACTCGTCTAGGAGAGTAGAATCTTCATCATCTGACATAATCTCGGACTCTGGCTCTGAGCCTTCCTCAACGGTCTTGCCATCGTCATCCCACGCACTACCGTCCTCTAAGATCATAGTCTTACCACTCAAGACATCCAAGGAATTTGTCTCAAACTGCGGAAGTGAATGAGTCAAGATCCTCATGACTTTAGGGAACGCCATTTGGGTCGCAAGAGCCTCTGCTTGTTCGCATAGATCCGCTTTCAGTTGAAGCAATCCTCCGCTTTGGGAACCGCATCGTTTAGAGTGGGCCGCTGATGTTACACCTGGTAGATTCTCCATCAGACTCAAGTTGATGACTACCTCGCTCAACTGCAGACTGATATTGGGATCCCGGGGTATTAAAACGTCGGGGCAGATGCTGCGCATGCGTAGGTGAAGGGTTCGAAGTGTGCAAAGAAGGGCACCAATAGCTGGACAAATATGATGGTCGTTTCCTTGCTGTCCTGTCGAATTCAGAAAGCCGGTAGACAGATCCAGTACCAGAACCCTCAGATTCTCCACCAAGAGCAAGGCTTGCATTGTAGGCAGCGGCAGATTATCCTCAGCGCTATCGAAGGGCTGAGGACAGGGAAAGCCCCAGGCTCGTATGCGTAAGGTATGCAGCCTGTGAAATTGCTGGGTAATTGGCAAGCTGATCGAGGTCTTCATTTAGGGCCGTCATGGATGTCTTGATCGGATTGTTTCCGGGAGCCTCGTTTAGTGCAGTGGCCACCAGAGCATTTGGCTCTTGCGTATATTCTGAGGGGTAGGACGTAGAGATGCATAACCGATCCCCCCTCAGTTCAAGGTGTAAAGTTTCCAAGTTGTTTTGGAGCGGCGATGGCCTTTTTGTTACCCCAGAGGCCATTAGACTCCGCAGAGTCTTTGGAGAAAGTGTGATGCACTTGAGGCACGTGGGGAGAGCGAACTCAAACCACTGTTTGCAGACCGTAAGGCGGCGTACGTCCTCGTGGAAAAACGACGACCCGACTTCGTCAAAAATTTGTCTTAGAGTCTCGGGAGGCAAATGCAGAAGTGACATTGTAAAAACTAAGCAACGCGAGTGAGGAGACGTCGTGAGTCTTGACTAAAAGACAGCAAGCGGCTGGGAGAGGGGGGGGGCAGACACAGACCACAGACTTCGGAGACGAAAAGGGGATTTAGGCTTTATATAAGCGCATATCCGCTGACGTAAGACGCATGTTGCTGTCGGCGCTCCCTTGGCTCAGTTGGCTGAGTCCGCTGGAAAACCCGTGCAGCACGTCAAAGACCCGTTCCAAGATAAAATACCATAACATGCCCAGCGCAAGCTCTCTCTGCGGCACATAGGGGTAAGCGAAGCTATATACCTACTACCTCAGGCCAGTCTCCCAGTCTCCCAGTGTGGGCGTGGCCTAAAAAGTAAGGGTTAGTGTTATATATTGCGGCACACTGCCCCCGTAGCAAAGGTGCACTGCCCCCGATCCCAACCCACGCGGAAAAGCAACTCGTCAACTGCCAATCCCCCAACCCAATACCTCAATTCGAGAATCTACAAGGACTCAATACAATCAAGTGAGAGCAGAGAAAGACAAGGTTAAAATGTCAGCAACTCGGTGGTTGGCGGGATCTCGTCACACAAGTCGTTACTCGCTGACGCGAAGCCACCATGGGTAAAGAAAGACTTGCAGATTGTATTTCGCAGTCGTCCCGGCGGACTCACCTGCGTCTTAAACATCACTTCATCGCCGTCTACCGTGCGGCTCTGGAAAGCCTAACCCAACAATTCCTAGGTGGTACCCATTTGGCCAATCATATGTACCCGTCGGCTTGGAGTGACGAGCCAACGGGTATATCAGGTCGTACGTTGGTTGTGATCTTCCTCCTGTTCTCTTCTCTTTCCATTACCCCTCTTCGTGCTTCTGCATTCCTCCAACTCCTTGAAGTTCAAGACCGTCTGTTCCACGTTCACATTCTCGAACCCCCTGCACCCCACCCGATCCTCACCGCACCATGCCGAGCAAGCGTCCTAGCGATGGTTGGGCTGGGTTCAACGGCCTAGAGCCTGGACCAGGAAGCCGTCACGATCGAATCCGAACCGTGCTTTCCACGATCAATCTCCAGCGTCTTGAGGAAGTCGCGCGGCTCGCCCGTATCAGCCAGGACAAGACGGCTACCGCGACCTCCAACATTTCGTGCACAATCAACCCGACGGCGTTCACATGCGGCTTTCTACAACATCGTGCTCGAGGTAGCTTTCTCGGACGAGGTGTACTGGATCGCAAAAATCCAGCACGTCCACGTGAATTCGTCTGAAGCCGATGAGAACCGTATGGACCTGCTGAGCGAGATCGCCACGATGCGGACGGTCAGGGCTAGAACATCGATCCCGGTACCGCAGGTCTTCGCCCACGATGTTTCAGCTTCAAATGAGGTTAGATATCCTTATGTTCTTATGGAGTATATGGATGGCCGGGTCCTTAAAAGCCCAATCGCCTCAGCAGTCCCGTCCGAATTCCTGTCGAAGGTTGCAAAACAACTGGCTGAAGTTCTGTTCGAACTCCACGGTCTGGCGTTTGATAAGTTCGGCCAACTCTGGTGCGGCGAAAGCTGCGACGAACCTCCCGAGATTATTCCCGATTCTGACTTCAATGCACACACATCACTTGAATGGTTCTATCGGGAGCGACAAAGTGAAAACGCGCAGATTCTCATTCTTCAACCTCAGGATCCAGGGTGGAGGACAGCTTGCTGGGTTCTCAAGATCGCTGTACCCCATATCATCATGGAACCACGACTCCACGGCCCTTTCCCTATCTGTCACGTCGATTTGCATTTCGGGAACCTCTTGTTCGATGACGATTACAACTTGAAGGGTGTCATTGACTGGGACCGAGCGCAAACCGTTCCCATCGAGCGCTTTGTGACATCTCAGGAGTTCATGACATTCCCGTCAGGCTCCGAGGAGGTAAATAACAAGATACTCACCCTCAGGTCTCTTGTCCGCGAGCACTTACGGCATCTTGAAGAGACTCGAAGCCCGGAAGGCAAACTCCCAACGCCACTGCTCTCCCAAGTCTCGGGTCCAAGTAAGCTGATATTGCTTATTGATGCACATATACGACGCCACATCAAGCTCTATTGGTGGGGCGATTGGTGGCTGGACTGATCTATGGCGATCATGTGTCTTGGGAGCAGCTCGTGCGTGTATATGGGACGTTGGACTTGTATTAGACGGCTCTTGATCCATTCTTTGCTTTTCATAGCGTGAATCATACGTCGTGGCAGCACCAGACGCTGTCATAGCAGATTCAGACCGACTTATAATCTGAAGTTGAGTCTGACCAGTCGCTAGTCCGTCTCGTCCAAGTCATCCTACCCTCCTGGCGTTCCATCGCCCTGAAAAAATATCTCCCAGTCGTCTTCGCACCTAGAGCCCAACCGCATTCGGCGCCCGGTGATGGCGTCAAAGGCAGATATATCATAACTTGGAAGCACGTGCGATATCACCCTCACCATGCGAGGGCCTTTGAGTCTGGACGCAATCGCTGCCGCCGCGCTCTCCATCGTCGCCTTGAGTGCATTATATGCAGACCTATGAGTGCCGTGACCAGGCCTCCAGGTGCAGTGCCTAGGTATATAGCCAATGTAGTCGTTGTCGTACAACTCGGGGATGCTCAGGTTGACGATCAGCTCCTCCAAGTGGAGGGGCGTCTTGGCGTCTTCCGGCGCCCTCAGCAGTCTCTCGCACACCCAGTCCATTCGGCAGCGTAGGCGACGGAGTGACGGAAGCAGCAAATTGATGGTTTTGCAGAGATGAACATTGATTTTTCTCGAGCATGCTGCGGGCCACCCGGAAACGTCGAACTCCAAAGAGGTAATATGGCGGATGGAGAGAAAGTCGGTCAGAGGTTTGACCATCAGGTCGTCATCAACGCAGTAAGGCTCCAGGCAGAGCTTCAAGCGTCTCAGACCAGGACATTGGTGTAGGACGGCAGCTAAGGTACAGGCGGATTGCACATCTTGACTCCTAGGAAAGATGGCATAGGCGGGAGGGGCCCCTAGTGGACGATCTGGTACAAGTTGCCGAACACCGATTGGACATAGGTATACGCTGACTCCCGCGATGTAGGGCCGACTGTGGCGGATGATTGCGTTGTTGTCCAAGAATTTTACAAGCGACTTGGAAGTCAACTCGAGATTCCGGACCAGGGTCGGCCAGGCGAAATCATACCAGCGCCGTGAAATCGTCAGGCGGCTGAGATCTTCGCGGAAAAAGGCCGATCCCAGGTACTCGAAGGTGTGGAGGAGCAGTTCTGGAGGAAGTTGGAGGAGCTGCATTGGATGGATAAGGTACCTTATTAGCGAGATGGATTGCAGTTTAGGTGGGTTTCAGGCGGTCGCTCGGGTTAGTATGTACCATTTCAAGTGCGAAGTTCGACACTTGCAACGGAGTACACCGTGGAACCGGACACTTTCTTGGCGAGCTTGGCGAGACTGCGAATTGGAATCGGCCAGTTTGACACTGTCCCGTCCGTCAAGACGATTTCAAATGCACGAAATCTGTATTTAATGATCTGCAATGCCAGCCAAAACTGAAGATCTTGATTGACAACAATTGATTTTCTGATGCTGTGATGATAAAGGAAGAATCCGAGAATTGTGGAGTTGCTGGACATCTAGCTAACGTGCTAACCGCTTGTGGAAGTGGGCTGCCTGGCACATGCCTGCAGCCCTGCCCAATGCCCACTGTACAGCAACAAAATCTGGACGCATACAGTCAGTGCCGGAAAAAAACGCCCAACTCGTTTTTTCACACCAAAAACAGCCAAAACTCAACTATTTCAGCTAGACCAAAAACAACCACACTCTTAGTAAAATACAATAACACTTGAGAAGGTCATTTGAGATTGGTTAAAGTATATATCTATTTTAGAAGCTAAGGCTTTTTTCAAGTACTGTAGTTGTAGTTGGGATTCGTATGAAAAAAGACTTTTTGAACTTTTGGATTTTCGAGCTTACAGGGACTTATAGGGCACTTATAGGGCATGTGAATTTCAAGTCCCACCTTAAGTTCAACTTTGCACCACCATTCCTTCCGCATTTTCGCTCCAAAACTATATATAAGGCAAGGACTAAATAGATAGAGAATGTAAATAACTCCTAGTATAGTAGATTTGGTATGATTATTTATACATTATGCTCAAAAGTTGTATTAGTGATGTTGGTGAGTTTTGTGGTAAAATCGACAGTTGGGCGTTTTTTTGTGGCACCCACTGTATGCGTTTAGCGACAGGACCCTGAATCTCGACAAGCGAGCGGAGCGAGCTCAAAACAACTCATTTCTTCACATTCCCAGGCTTCCTTTCCGGCCTTGACTTCTCACAGAAGAACCGACTTCGTAGGAACTGGATTCGGTATGAAGAATATTTGGAAACCAGCGCTCCAAGCAAGCCAAACTGAAACATTTCTATATACTAACACAGTACATCTGTGAAGTCCGCAACAGAATATTCAGGAATCAGGATTGACCGCGCGCTTTAATGTATCGAGGATCTCGGGCCATCTTCATTATTCCGTGAAGCTCTTCCCCCTCGATATGGTCGACGGGCTTGTTGTTCATCCTCTCAAGAATGCCAGTGAGATCGCTACTCCGAAAATCGTCACCGATGCCGGGACCTCTAACGTCTTGCATTGCCCGGTCCATCTGTCTATGGGTCGAGCGGGTCCATGATGACAATCTGCGGTCCATGTGGAAGCGGAAGTCTGAGGACGCATGGCCATGACAGGTCAGAAAACAATTCGAGAACTAGAAGAGGGGTATTGACAATGAAGCGCGATCTAGACTCACTTAGGTTCAACATGTCTCGCATCCAATCCCTATCCACCTCATACCTTTGGTTTCCATCGTAGGCGACCAAATCCCCGGGTTGGCGCTCTCCCAAGGGATGATTCCTGTCATAGTAAGATTGGACCACGAAGCCTATCAGCTGCCTTTCGTAAAATCGACCTGACTCGCCGGATGCAGTGCCTCTTCCAGGGAAATTAACCTGAGGGGGCGTGAGGTCCCGGCCATTTCCAACGAACTGGGCAACGAAGACGTGAATCAGTTCATGGACGGTCGCTATCCCCATGAGCAATAGGAAACGCTGAAACTCCTCAAGAAGGCCATCCTCGGCGGCTTCGATAGCGTCGTCGATAATCTATAAGCATGCCGGGTCAATACAACACTATTCGCCTGTGGATCGTCTAGTCTAGACGGCGGATGGGGCCTTACCCTTCCGTTTAAACGAAACATGGCAGCCCACTTTGCGTTGAACCCTCTCCCGTGGGCCCAATCTTGACGTTGAACGACCCCCTCGCCCACGAGGCGCGAACTGACAACCATGTTGGGTGGGTTCTCGCGGATGCTGTCGAGGAAGGCATCGACTTGCTCGATCAGAAGGTTACGCTGCTGCCTCACATCGGCCCTGAACAAATGGTTCCGTCTCCCGCGCATGGTCCAGCCATCGCAGAGGGCACCAGCGGTGTCGATCAAAGCCTCCCTGCCGTCCGGCGACTCAAGCATCGATATGGCAAAATGCATGACGAAAACGACAAATCGAAAAGTCCGCGACAGCTTGGATAGCTGGGGCATGTCTTCGGGATCGCTTCGGCTTTGCTCGAAAACTCGAACGTTTGGAAGCATCCCCCCCGGGAGCGGAGGGCGGACATCTTCATCACGACGTGTAGAAGACGGGGTGCCGCTTCTGGATCGGCGGCCTCCAGGGGAACGCGAGCGACTGCGGGAAACAGAGCCGGATGCATCGTTGTTGACGGAGAGGTAGCCCCCTGAGTAAGACATGGTTGTTGTAAGTCGAGGAAGGTAAGGTGCTGAAGGCCGGATTTCAGGTGGAATGGAGCTGAGATTAATGTACAGCGGTGCCAAACTACCCACTGGGTAGTAAGGATCAAGTGGCTGAAGACCGAGGTGACCAAAGTCAAGGGATATTAGGGGGCGATAAGGGGGAATCGGATAAATGAAGATGATGTACGACAGAGATGGCACGGTCCAAAGGGTTCGGACAGACAGAGACGTGATGCCAGATCACAGAAAACGGGGGAAGAAGCTGGGAATTGGGCAGTTCGAGTCCTGGTTGACCTGAGTGAATGACTGCCGCAGCGGACCAGATGGGATAGAGGTCGAGAACTCAAGGATGCAGACAGCATTACTTTATAACTTTTCAATGACGACTTAATTTCACCCCGATATTCAAGACAATAGCATACCTTACCTAGGGTGTCTTAGTGTCTAACCGCCATGATCGCAGTATTCACACGACGTTGCCAGCCGTGGGATGAATCCATGTTCGGCGGCTGGCTGCGCTTGTCTTGGCCTAGTGTTGGAAGCTCTGTAAGCTGACATCCAGTCGTCAATTGCGAAGTACCTGGGAATGTGTGATAACTGTTGCAAGCGCGTGCCGCGTGCCATTTTGAGATATCTCGGGAGTAGTCGGGCCGGGCCGACGAGTGTGAAGGACCAATTGGCCACGGGGAAAGGCGGTTGGCGGTTGGCGGGTGGCCGGACTTTGGACCCGGCAGTACGGTACCGGCGGCTGGTGTAACACCTAGACGACTGAATAGAGGGGCCTACGGCGCATAGCCGCGTACCGAATTTCTTCCAGTTGTCTCCCCAAGGCCCCAGCTGACCTTCTCACATTCTCAACTTTGTCAAATTCCAACAACCTCGTTCTAAAACTTGGGCTCAAATTACTACCAGATACCTACTTACCTTATCTCCTCAACCTCATCTCCCCTCGGCTTTCATCTTCCAAGTCGCGACAGCGAGTACTTCGACGCACAACAATTGACCGCACACGCCACCCCACCTGACCGACGTGCCCGTCATGTCTATTTACCCCGATGTCATGCCAGCTGTGCTGGACCAGCTTCGAGAAAAAGCACGCGCGGAGTACAGGGCGCGCATTCCGATTCGCAAACTCGACAAGTTGCATCGTGATGCACTCACTCGCGCCATCAACAATGTTCTTTCTACAGAACTCGCCATCTTCACCTACGCCCAAATCATCGACGGCTTGCCAACCGCCGATGTCGCCTGGGATCGGCGATTGCCAGGACTCTACGGTGACCATCCACTCGACGGGCACGAAGAGCTCTGTCCCGGCGCCATGGAAAAAGCGCGCGAGATCTGCCCTCTGTGGGATCCCGACATGCTAGCATTCAACCCCAAGGTATGTTACTGGTCCACCTTACGAGCGTTAGTCGCGCCGAGGCACAGAATTGACCATGTCCAGCTTGTCAATGCGTTTCAAAGGGCGGCTCCCGGCACCAAGATGTTCAATACACGCTTGATTGAACTGGTTGCTGTGGCTCTCCACCAATTTGGTGCGCTGCTCTACCAGATGGATTTCCGCCTCCACAAAGGTGATGTCGACGCCGTTGTGAATTGGGTCATGCCGAGGCCGTGGTGGTCGAGGGAAGAAAAGTGGGAGCCCGTCCCGCCACGTCCCAGCATCTTCAATCACCACGCTTACGTCGACGACGACATCTACCCCGAGGGCAAAGCTGATGTCGTAGGGTATTGGGTGGAAGATCGCATTTTTGGCGGCGTCGTCGTATTTGACCGTCGCGCAGAGACGGACAAAGATGGGAACTTTCTGCCGCAGGATCCTCCTAACATCTACCTCCACCCTTGTCGCTCAACGGTCACGATGCGGGTCACGCAGCTCCTCGACCACCAGCAGCAAGCCCTGGTTGACTTCTTACTCTCTGACCCTGCGTCGATAGACTCCTCGGAGGCCACCCCGACAAGGCCCTGTCCGCTCCCGATCCTTGTGGATGACCGTAACCGCAAACGCTACGATCCCGAAGACGCAATCACCATCCACCTCATCTATAGGGATGTCTGGGAGCGCAAACCGCTGGACAAGGACGAGAGAAACATGATGAAGCGCCGGCCGCAGTGTGCAATCGACTACCCCGAGGCCAATCTTCAGCTGCTCCGCTTGAACATGGCGGCAGGAGAACCGCTGCCCGAGGGCCGTTACAAGCGCTACCTGGAGGGCGAGGGAGATCTAGACGAGAATGACGTAGATGAGGGCCCTTTGAAGAGGGCATTAGATCAATATATGGAAATAAACGGCATTGTGAAGAAGGTGAAACTGGAACATGCACCCGGCGAGGCCGAGGAAAAGGGGGGGACTAGCGAAGGGGGACACGAAGGTAAGGGTAAGGAGAAAGAAGGAGAGAAAAATAAAGGGGCCGAGGAGAATGAGGTGGGGGAAACTGGGCAGGTAGAGGAGGAAACGAGAGAAAAGTCCTGTGAAAATGGCGACACACAGGTCCAGTGACATAAGTCTTCGATCCAGACATAGCTCTTGGGAACCAGCAGAAGCCAGGAAGCTTGTGCATTAACAATGTTGATTACTTCG